CAACCCAAGGTCCAGTTAGCATTTACTTACTTTATTGGTTGATATGCCTCTCTGGTGTCAAGTTTTTAGTTTTCAAGTTTTTCTTTAAGAATGTAGGCTTGTTGTCTTCTATGAATGCCCATATTCTAGATTTGTAAGTTTGTTTTATTTGGCGAAGGCAGTGCATATACTTGATGTATATGCCTCCTATTATATCCCAACAGGAGCATGTGATTCAGTTTATTTTTGGTAATGATAAGGTGAATCATTCTGTGAAGATGGTTTGTGTCAGTTATTCCAGTATCATAAAGACAAGTTTCCCTTTTGCAATTAATAATCTGTAACTTTCAATCATGTGAATGTCCTGTTCCTAAAAACCTCTCATCCAGTGGTATTAGCAATCCATCGATGATCTCTTTCCATTAAATGATTAAATTAGTATTAAGTGATAGTTTTCTAATTTCACTTTTCTTTTGCATTTATTAGTTGGCTGTGTTCTATAGAGTAGTATTTTCCTGTTCTCTCTCTCTCTCTCTCTCTCTCTCTCTCTCTCTCTCTCTCTCTCTCTCTGTCTCTCCCCCTCTCTCCCCCTCTCTCTCTCCCTCTTTCTCTCCCTCATCCTCCCTCCCCACTTCCTTTAGGAGCAGACTGTGGATCTCTTCCAATATGTTGTGTATCATCTGTAACACCATGTGATGTGTGCACATTTAATTACTACAGTGACTGCATTTACTCTTCAAAGCTGCTTGTTCCTCTCCCATAGTTATTTCTTTTATTATAATTTGCATGCTTTTAAAAACATTCCCCCCTGATGGCTCCAATTTACAGTATGTATTAGATTGTCGCTCTATTATCTCAAGTTCTTCAAAGTCTTTATTTTCTGTGTCTACCAGCTTTGATTCAGGGTGCATCAGTCACTTCCTCCTGTGTTCAAGAGTGTTTTATAATTTTAAGCATATATTGAGTAGGACTTAAAAAACTTACATTACTTCTGTTAGGTATCCTGGTTTGTCACTGTCTTGGGAAAATTTATGTTAATTTCTTACATTCTAGATTCTTAGGCTGTATGATTGGTGGTCAGTTTAAGCTCCATTGATGCTGGGATCTGGTATTTCATTGGTTTGGTGATCTGTGCCTTCATTCTCATAGGATACCTTTCTTTTGGAAAGAATAATAATAAATAATCCAGCCAATGTCCAGTACAGACAGAGGATGGAGCTGCTGGATCCTCTATGTTGTGTTAAGAGCTAGTGAGTGACTACTGAGGGTCATTTACTGAAGAGCAGTGTGTACTTTCCTGATGACTATGCCTGGAGCACATCAGTCCTTTAGAGCTTCGTGCCTGGCCTGTTGTGAGTGAAAGAACTGTTGTCTCCAGAAGACAAGTGGCTTGCCCAGGGCCAAACAGAAGGGGGAAAGGGATAAGAACCCAGGGCTCTTGGTGAGTCTACTAAGCCAGGATTTAGTGAGGCATTGATTAAGTCTAGGCCTTGTGTGTACCTTGAACCCAGGGCCCAGCCTTCGCCTCTTTGTATGGGACATCAAGGGAAGTGGAGTATGAGGTGGAGGCCTCAGGCAGAACAGGCAGGCTGGTGTCTGCCGCCAGCACCCTTGGATTTATTAGATGTACACTTTGTCACATGTCTCTGGGTTAGGGTTATCTACACAATGGCACTTTAAGAATGTATTTTGAAGCCCTCAATTTATCTTTCTGCCATTGTTCATAGTAGTTTTCACTCAAAGGCAAGAATATGCTTTTGAACTGACCTTTTAAACTTTGCATTTCGTTGGCCACAAAGGGACACATGAAAGGAACAATTGCACATTCTCCATGTATGAGCACACTAAGGTCTCCTTTAGTGAGAGGGCAAATAGGCACCAAGTTTCTTAGCTGCTTCTGCAGCTGATGACTGGCTCTCTGAGGGGAAGTCCTATGACCAGGGAGAGGTCCTGCTGTTTCCCATCCAGCAGATACACCATCCCCACCTTCACCATGCCTGAGGCCATTGGCCTCCCTCAGAAGCCAGGAACAGTTCAGGGACTGGGCTTTATCCCATGGTTTCCAGGAAGTTTCTGGGTCAAGGAAGGGGGTAAAAATTGGAGAAGAACAAAGAGCATTTGAAGTCAAGGGCTAGCTGGCTCTGGCACTTCTAAGTTGTACAACCTTGTTTAAGTCACTTAACTTCTGTGAGAGTCACTCTGGCATTCAGCATCTGTTTATGGAGCTGGGACTTATGCTGGATTTGTGGGTTGAGTGAGACCAAGAGAATTCTGCTACCCTCTCTTCCTTCTTATTTACAACTCTTAGCAGACCTATCACTTCCCAGTGATGTCATAGCAAATCACCAAACTCAGTGGCCTAAAGCAGCATGAACTTATTGTATCACAGCACTGGAGGGCTGAAATCTGAAACCAGTTCCACTAAGCTAAAGCCAAGGTTTGGTCAGTGCTGCTTTCATGAGGCTACTAGGGAGACCTCTGTTCTTTTTACCCATGTATTCTTTGGCTGTGGCCCTCTTCCATCTGCATTGCACACCACTCACTCTGCTTGTATCATCTTAGTTTATCCTCTTCTGGCTCAGATCTCTTTTGCTGTGCCCTTATGTTGTAAATGGTGGGGAATAACTGGCCAATGTACTATATCAGGTTTTGTAAATCATTTGGTACATAACAGGACAGAGGTATATGCTTCTTGTATGCTTCTCATTGGCTGCTTGTGGCTGTCTGCCTGCATGGTTGTAGGCAGAGAAAAGGTTCTTCACCCCTATAAGGAACCTTGTGGTTAGATTGGTCCCATCCAGAGGATATGGGACAGTCTCACCATGTTGGCCTTTAGCTTCATCCCACTTGCAAAATTCCCATTAGCCATGTAAGGCAAACACCTGAAGTCTGGGAAGTAGGACACGGGCATGTTTAAGAACCAGTCCACCATGGCACACCTCATTATGTGTTTTGTACCTTTGGTGGTCTTCCAGGCAGGAAAGTGGGCCTACCAGATGGCTCTGCACAAGTGCTGGGTTGTGGAGGAATGCATGAAGGCCTGAATGAATGAAGTCCTGTTTTCAATTGGTCTTAAGGGGATTAGGGTGTTCCAGGTAGAGTGAGCAGGGCTTGGCATGAGACATTCCTACCTGTGGACGATGGTGGGTCACAGCAGATGAATCTGTGAGAGCCAGGCTATGGAGAACCTATGGGGTGGCCCAGTGGGCTGGATTTTATTCCATAAGGCTATTGCCATTATATTTGGAGTCATTGCTTGAGTTTTAGTTCCTGTGCTGCTACTTACTTGCTGTGTAACCCTGGAGAAATTATGAAGCCGCTCAGATTTGGTACAATAACTGCTTTGGAAGACTGTTATGAGAAGCAGATAACTTTGGAAGCTTGCAAGGCACCTAGTACAATGCCTGAATAGTCAAAGAAGGAATTCGTTATTGTTATAAATGTGGTATTATTGATGGTGATTGAAAAACTGCAGCCAGACAGCAGTCATGGCCAGACTTTCCTTGTAGAACAATGATGTGTGAAGGTGGGAGAGGGCCAGGGGCACCACACTGGGAGTCAGGAAATCCTTAGGACATCATTAGGACACTCAAGGTGAGATGGGAGAGCTAATGCAGAAGTGCTCAGGTGGGACACCAGCAGACTCATGTGTCCTGAGATATTTAGCCTCTGCTGTCCCCTACTGAAATGGCAGGAAGAAGCACACTTATGTAGGACAGGAACAGAGGAAGCCCAGGTACTCAGCTGTGCTGTGGAGCAGGTGGGCTGAAAACCTGGCATGATGAGGCTTCTGTGAAAGTTGAGCATAGTTCTTCCTCCTACTGTGTGGGATCTCTGTAGTGATCTCCCTTGTGTATCTTAGCCCACTTTGTAGTGCATTCCTCTACTCCACCTCCCACAAACAACCATAGAATCCTAGGAGTTTGGGCTTTGCATGGAGGTGCTGCCTGACTGAGTAGGGAGGAGAAGAGGAGGGAGAAGAAGAGGAGAAAGAAAAGGAGGAAGAGGAAGAGGTCAAGAAGGGGTATGGAGGGCAGGGAGCACTGTGTTGGAGGAGAAGGAGGATCAAGAGGAAGAAGAGAAGGAAAAAAAGGAAGAGAAAAAGGTTGAGGGAAAGGAGGGGATGGAAGAGAAGGGAGCACTGTTTTGTAGAGTCTGAATCTGTGTGCACTCTTGGCTGAGTACTGCACGTCCTCTATGGTCTTCCACTCACGCCCATCACACATCCTCCAGAGGAAGCCGGCTCAATGGGGTGCACCCTGCAAGACTACGATTGTTACTTCGGTCATATTTCATCCTGCAAGGATGTTGGAGGGAAACATATTTCAATGCCACCTTCAAAAGAGCTGTCATTTTGAACATAGTAAATGAGTATTTAGAGAGTGATATAATGTTGTTATTTTGAATACATTCTTTTAAAAAATGGTTTTCCTTTAGTTTGGATTGATGTATGCTGGAAGCAAACTCTTAAGGGGAGCTTCCACACAGGTGGATCATTATAAGATGCTCTGTGCACATACCTGCGTTTACAAATCAGAATCACAGAATCTCTTTCTCAGGTAACAAAAAGTTGTGGCCTAAGTTCTAAGTCTCTATAAATGGCCACGGGTGACTTTACAAGAAACTCAGAGAAACAAACTAACAGAGAACTCAGAAACGAGATGGAAGCATTCTATGTAATGATTCTGAAGATTATCTCTCTGTGTGAGACACAGACATCAGTGAAACATGTTGACATTTGGTGCTTGGCAAGTGTAAACCACAGGGTCTTCCAACCTCAATTAATAGGAGTGCATGTGATAGTAGAGCCCCTACAGACACTTCGAAGGCCGTTTGATGTCACCCCATGTGGAGCCTGTGGCTAAGAGAGGTGAGCTGTTGAGTCACACACTGTGGCAAGGCTGGCACTGGAAAGAACTCCTCAGCTCCTGACCCTTTCTCAGCTCTTCCTACCTTCCTAGGCTATTAGGTTTCTTTGCCATTCTCCTCTGGTACACTGACATTTTATTTTATTTTTCCAGGAATAATCGATTGGTATCTGACAAAGTGGATGATGAGCTGGGTGCCCTTCGGCTTGGTAGGTGTGAGTCCTCGGAGACTGGTTGGGCTTCCTCCTGGCTGGGGAGTATGCTTTTCTTCTACCTGATCTCAGGAAGCAGGGACAGGCCCCTGTCCTGTTGATGTCTTCTCTATGCTTGTCTTGCTGTCTTAGACAAATCCTTGGAGAAGGATTGATAATTTATGGTATCCTCTCAGAGGATCCCTTTCTCCATTTGGAGTTCCTCCCAGGACCATTTAGACCCTATGAAGATTTCCAGAGACAGTTGTAGACCATGGTATTAGCTTAGCTCTGCTTAGGGAGGCCTGACCTTTAAAAAAGTTTCTAAGTGTCTGGTTGAGGTATAAGATACACAGTGAAATAAGTGTGCAAGGTGAATTTACCTTCCACGTTCATAAATTGAAAGCCATTGTATAAGTACTTTCTAAGACAAAGATACAGAACCTATCTTTCTGCTCTGGTTTTAGAGCAGTTTTCTGTCTGCACACAGTTCTCTGTTCTTGGAAAAAGAAAGTCAGAACCAAGGGTGGCAGCCAAGGGATATGTGTGCGATGGGAGACTTGAGGGCTCTGAGTATTTGCTTCTCTGGAAGCCAGCCACTACCTGTTGGGCCTTCCCAGCATACAAGCATTCTCAGTTTTTCTTCCTGCTTTAAGCATTCCTTTCAAGCAGCAGGAAGAGAGTGTGCCCCCTCAAGTAAGCGTATAGTCTCTGTGAGTGAGATGATCTCGTCTGCTTTGATCAGTATGAAAGCCGGCAGCCCTGCACAGGGAGGCAGGGCTTATTTATAATGCTTAACTAACTTCAGAGATCCAAGAGCTTCAGTCTAAATCCCCAGAAACGATGGTGGGGGCCATCAGCCTTGCCCAGGAAGGGCAGGTTTCTGTACAAGGCAATGCCGAGTGAAGGATGGAGCCAGGAAGCCCTGGCATCTAAGGCCTTCTGGGAGGCACTATGCTTGAAGATTTTCCAAGGAAAGGCACTTGTTTGGACACAAAGCAAAGCAGTTCCCGGCCTTTGGAACAAGAGCGCTTCTCTTGGAAGGAAGGCTTTTAGCCATTCTCAGAAGCTAGCTGTTTGAAGTGCATCTGCACATTTTCTGGAAGAAAGCAGACCCCTCCAGGCTAGCACAGCTAGTGGTTTAGGAAAGGATAAGGAGATGGAGGAGAAGAGACTATGGGACCCACTCACCAAGATAGTCAATTGGAGAGAAAAAAGAGTCTCGTGGGGAGAGATACAATGGCAGCTCAGAAATAAGGCATAAAATTTGGTGACACAACATTTCTTGCTTTCTCTGATCCCACCTGAAGTGAAATGCAATCACTGTGCAAGTTTTTCCTCCAAAGGCTATGTAAAATGCAATGGGACACAAATTCCTTGCTTCTTTCCAACCAGACATTCATGTGAGGGCCTTAAAAATAGCATTCTCAACCACTGGCATCAATGACAGTTTTGTCTGCTTGGCTAACATATTCTGGAGCAATGTATTTTTCCCTTGCATGAAGGCCTCTTCACCACATCTGAGCCCAAGGCTTGCTCTGTGGTCTAGAACTAGCTCCCTGCATGCAGCCAGGTCTTCCTTGTAGAAATCAACCTCTCTTGGCTGCTTGCTTCACGGAGTTCCTCATGTCTGTGTGTCATAGACTTCAGCCTCCCTCCCTGACCCACTTCATGGGCTGGGCAAAGCATGTCACAGACCCTGTTCCTCCTGACAACATCGGACTAAACAGAAGACTCAAATAGGCTGAAATACTGCCTCCCTATGCTTCCAGAGACAGTCTGTCCGCAAACAGTATAAGTAGCTCCTCAGGCCTGTTGGCATCACTTAGGGAGCTCTGCCCCATTGTCTGGGGCCTTAGATACATTTCTTCTTCCAGCCCAAACTCTCAGTGTGGACCTTTGCAAACCAGATGTCAGACATCCTCATTTCTGTTTAGCTTCCTCTAGCTCACATCAAAGAGCAGTGTGTGTGTGTGTGTGTGTGTGTGTGTGTGTGTGTGTGTGTGTGTGTGTGTGTGTGTGTGTGTGTGTGTGTGTGTGTGTGTGTGTGTCTGTTCCTACACGAAGTGTAGTGTTGTTTAGTGCACATGCATTTTTTGCTCAGTATTCTGTTAAAATAGCTCAGTTGACTTCTTACTCTCTGCCTGTGCCATGTTTTCAAGCTCCATTCATGTCACTAGGTGGACATCTGAACTCTATATTTTAGGTTATTTTTTGTAAAGGCATGGCTACAGTAGCATTTTTTGAAGTGTTTAGGAAATGCTCTCATTTAAATTCAACTTACTTATATTCCAGACATTTTTTCCCTCTTTTTTTTACAAAGGCAGAATCTACTCCTCATTCACTGAACTGGGCCTTAGGAGTTTGCCTACGCTGTGGCTGACTCCCGCAGAGAGAAAGTGAGGTGGTAGAATAAGACACAAGCGGTGTCCTGGGGATGTTGGCCCTGCCCCTTTGCCTTGCTCTGGCTCTGGCATCTGCTGGGCTTGGCTTTATCAGCATGATGGCTGGATGTTCTTTTCCCTCAGGTCCTTCACCCATGCACTCTAGGAGATTCAGTGGCAGAAGTTGGAAGGGTAAGCAGGGACCTGAGCCAGTTGAGAAGTTGAAGGTGGTGTTTCAGAGGACTCTAGGACTGATAGAGGACCCATCCAGTCTATGGCTTTGCATTATTTCTAGCTGTAGGTCCAGGGGTGGGCAGAGTAACTATAGATGACTTGTAGTCAGCCCGAGGTGTATCATGCCTGTGTCACCTGACAGTTTCACCTGACAGTGGTAGTTGTACTGCTGTGGAGGTCCATGACAGAATCCAAGGCATCAGTAAATATCAGTCACAGTACTGAGAAATGGTTATGAGAAATGAAACTTGGGGGTTTGGGGTGTGGCTCAGTTGGTAGAAGGTTAGCCAGTAGGTGAAATTGGAAAGTATTGAGTTCAAGTCCCAGTCTGGGACCTAAATAAATAGAAGAAAAATGAACCTGTTCTCAGGGTGACAGAACTGTGCATCCTGCCTGTTGACCTTCTGTGAGGAACTGCTCCATGGCTTACATCTGGGGGTGTGGTTTACTCCAAATGTGGCATTTTCTAGTGGACCAGCCATGATCATTCCTGGGGCACGATGAGGGGAGGGGTTATGGTAAGGAGCAAGATCTCTCTTGACCTGCAAATTTCTTTCCTTCTGGTGGAGCCCTAGTTGCTGCAGAGCAGGGACTGGGGTAGTGTAGAAGTACCTGCCCCTCATCCAAACCTTTTCCAACTTGGTGTTCATTGTGTTAATGACTTCCTGGTCTATTCTCTGCAAGTCATCCAGTAATCCTCTTGTTTTTGTTTTTCAGAGGACATAGAGGATGAATTGGTGAGGGAAGAAATCATTCTGTCTCCTAGCCCATCAGTGCTCAGATTACAAATAGCATCAGAGCCAATTGACCTTGCACTGGCAAAGGTAAGTACAGCTCAGAAATGTAAGGAGAATGCTGTGTTAAATACATCTCAATGTGGATAAGGTCACTGTGATATTTTTGGTTCAGTATTTCTCATTGTAATCTCTTAGTCACTATAGAAATTGAGATCTGAGTGTGACTTAGAAAAAAACCTGAACTGAGGGTCAGGAAACTGTTTGAGTTCTGGCTGCTCCCTTTCCCTCTCCAGGACAAAGGGTATTCTTCCTCACCCAGATATTGCAGAGCATCCTCAGCACAGCACTAATGGGCACTGCCAGCCTGCAGTGGGAGTGAGACAGTTGTCCCCAAGGCTTGGTCTGCTCCTCCCTGGGCTCCCAGACTGGCTTCAGCCAGCCACAGCAAGGGAATAATAGGGAGGATGCATTTTTTCACTACCATCTCTGTTTGCCCCTGTGGCCTCTTGGATGGGCCGTGGCCACAGGACACAGGAAGCAGGTTCCCAGCCATGACAGATTCCACAGCAGGGGGCCCTGGGATACTAGTAGGGTGAGTGGGGAAGGAGAGCGGCTCCTCAGGTGTCAGGCTGGCTGCTTTTTCCTCTTGGCCTGAGAATCCTGCAAGATGGAGTGTCCTTCCTGAAGTCTTCCAGCAGCCTTTCTGCCAGGACCAGGAGGAGATGGAAGCTCTGGAGACATTTCCCATAACACAAATCAAGAAGGGCAAGATTTTTCTAGAAGGTTCCTGTTTTTCCCCCCCTTCTGCCTCTAATCTGCTTCTTGCTTTTGAAGCCACAGAGGGTCAGGCACATTTAAGAGACCTCAAAGTGAGGGGTGTGTGCTCTGGCTATCTGGCATCATAGGCTGTGGCTCTTTGCAGAGAGATTGGCTCTTGGAGGTCCCAGAGACTACCAGCAAGTGTGGTGGGAGAAATCAGTGCCCACGGAGAGAAGGGGAGTGGAGGACTGGGGCTCAGAAAATTTGAGGATTCAAAGCCCAGCCTATAGAGAGGAGAAGAGAAGATAGGAGAGGAGAAGAGAAGATAGGAGAGGAGGGACAGGTCTCAGGGTATATGAGATCTTGACTACACTATGCTTGCTCCAGAGATGCTAGCCTGTGACTAGGAGACAGAGATGGAATTCATCCAGAAAACCAGAATCTGTATAGTTTCTTGGCTCTTAGGAGATGCATTTCAGATACCTGCATGATTATAGTTGTTACAAGAGGGAAACAGCCCAGATGGATGAGTTCACATACCCAATGTACCATCAGCTCACTTTTTTCTGTTTTGGCCAGTCCTGAGGCTTGAACTCAGGGCCTGGGTGCTGTCCCTTAGGTGTTTTGTTCAAGGCTAATCCTCTACCACTTGAGCCACAGGTTCTCTGGGGTTTTGGTGGTTAATTGGAGATGAGTGTCACAGACTTTGCTGCCTAGGCTGGCTTTAAACTGGAGTCTTGAGCATTCTGAGTAGTTAGCATTACAGATGTGAGCCACCTGTGCCAGAAAGCCATATGACATAGCACAGATGCTTCTGTTAAAGAGATCTCTTCATATTCAAGGAAAAGAAAGAAACAGAAGAACCTACTCAAATGTAAAGTAAGAGAGTAGGCCTGGTCTGTATGAAAGGCTCGATCTAAGCAAGTCCAGGGTAGAAGCTGTCAAGTCCACCTGGTGGTCCTGAGGCTTACTTGAGGCTTCAGCGACCCTTGGGATGTATAACCAGGACTAGGCATGCAGCCTACCATGGAGGTGCTGGTCTGAGGCCCCGTGGTGATAGTGGTGGGGGAAGTTGGTATTCCTGAGGCTTGGGGAAGGTGGGAGGTAAAAAGTCAGCTCAATATCACCTGGAAATCTGGGAAGAAAGGTGATACTGCCTTGGGAGACAGTGGGAGCCTCTCTCCCAGTTGGGAGTGTTAAGGCGGGGTCCATGGGGTCACTTGGAATGTTCATGTGGAGTTCATGGGTCACTCACAGGTGGCTTTGGAGAAGGGATTATTTTTTTTTCCCTGCAGAGAACTAGAGCGTATATTTTAGACTTTACTTTATGGTATGTGTTGCAACTATTTACCTCTGCTAGGATGTAAAAGCACCCATGAACAAAATGTAAACAAATGGACATTGCTGTATGCTAATAAAGGTAGAGGTTAGGATGCCATCAGGTACCAGAGTACTGTTTCTTAAACCTGACTGCAAAGTGAACCACTACTGATAGTGGTGTTGGGGATTCTGACTCAGTGACTAAGCCATTGCTTAACATGTGGAGGGCCCTTGGTTTGACATGTGCTAGGGAGCAGTGCAGAAAAACAACGGAATAAAACAATACAAAAACAACAACCCTACTGATACCCAGGTCTCACCCTCAGGAATTTGGATTTATTGGCCTGGCCTGTGGCCCAAGCATCAGGATTATTTTTAAGAGCTTTCAAAGACGTTGGCCCTTGTCAGTTCAGGCTGGTCTGGTCTGCAGATGTTTCAGAGGTAAGACCCTCAAGGTCAGATTTCTCTGCCCTCAAATATGAGAAGAATGGGCCTGCAAAATAGAGAAGAGACACCCTGCCAAAAAGGGCATGGTCCCATTAGAATTCCAAACAACTCCAGCGGGTTATGCCCATGAGAAAACAGTCAGTAAGACTCTTTCTTTCCACAGGAAGTCAAGACCCTTCTGTTTGGTTCTGCTTTTTGCTGTTTCAATGAAGAGTGGAAGCTTCAGAGTTTTTCCTTTAACGACAGTGACTCACTAAAATACGGCATTGTGCAGAACAAGGCAGGTGACTTTGGAGGGCTCTGAGGGCCTTCTGCCAGGCTGTTGTGCATACTGGGGCATGTCCCTTTTGTGATAAACAAGTCAAGCATCTGTGGAGCTGCCTAGGGCTGTCCCATGTCTTCTGAGGGTCTGCTTAGAATCTTCATGAGGGGTGAGAAGTGGAGATAGTGACTTCATATGGGGGTGAGGGATGGAGCCCTGTGCTCAGTCCTGTGAAGCCTACAGAGAGGAGCCCTTCAAGCCTCCTTCCTGATACTGGGAAGGAAGGGACACAGACATCTGGTAGCATCCTGAGGTGACCCGCAGCCTGGGCCAGATCAAAAGGGAAAGTGTTCTCTGTGCTCCAGAAAAATCTCCATGCCTACCCCCACACAATCAGAGGCTACAGGAGAGTGGGAGAGCTCTTCCTAGAGGAGGAGGCTTTTAGGGTTATACAATCACCACCCTTAGCCTGTGTACCCTGAAACATTTCCCTTGGGTGATGGAAAACTTGTGACACCTCCAGCTTTACTCCCATGATGAATTGCAGACTGACTTGTTATGTTTCAGGGACAGAATCCGGTGGTCCACAGAGAACCTTGTGGGTGAGGGAGCAGAGCAGTGGGACCCTGTTCTATGATCTGGGGCTGGAGGTGGCTCAGCCTGTGTGCATTCCTGGTGACATGTGTTGTCCTCTGCAGGGTGGCCCCTGTGGGGTGTTGGCTGCTGTCCAAAGCTGTGTGCTACAAAAACTCCTGTTTGAAGGAGAGAGCGGAGCCACTCGCCCTCGGTAAGTCTTCCTTTCCAAGGGTTGTCCAGAGCGGCCAGAACAAACAAGCAAGGAAATGTGCACGTTCCTTTTACTTCCTGTCTCCTGAGGTCAAGAAAGGAAAGGGTCATGCAGCAGGCCTGTTACATGGACGATGAGACAGGCGTGTGTCTGTAGGAGCCAGGAGAGCTGGTAAGCACTGCTCCAGTTGGCACACAGCTACTGCACAGCACCATGATGGAACTCACTGCTGCTGCTTTAGAAAGCACCAAGCAGCTTATTGTCCTTTCCCCACCCACATCTACCTGTTGCCCTTTGACAAAGTCCAGAGCCTCCTGCCTCTCCATTATCTCCCCTCTGCCAGCAGCCAGAACCACACATTCCAGCTGGCCCAACAGCACATAGCTTCCTCCCCTGCAGCCACGTATTTTCCATCTCTCGTTTTGTTTGTACCTGGGCACCCATGTGCATTTGCATGTGTTCAGCCTACATTCCTGGAACTCTTCTGTACAGGAACAGGGTTGCGGGGAACTAAACCATTCTTTCCTCCCCAGAGGCACACAGTGAGATTGAGGCACTGTAGAAAACACTGATTGCACATCATAGCTGGTGCCAAGGGAAGAGTGAGGAGGCTCCCGAGTGTGGCCTCCCCAAGAGGGCAGACTGCTTACCTTGGTGCTCAAGGACCCAGCGACTAGCCTGGCTCACATTGTCCTCAGAACTACACCAATTTTTTTTTTTTTGGGGGTCTGATCATGGGGCGCCTGGGCACTGTCCCTCAGCTCTTCATTTCAAGGCTAGCGTAGGTACCACTTGAGCCACAGCGCCACTTCCGGCTTTTTTCTTTTTATTTATGTGTTGCTGAGGAATCGAACCCAGGGCCTCATGCATGCAAGGCAAGCGCTGTACCACTGAGCCACCTTCCCAGCCCAAGCTACACAAATTTTGCATTTGTACTTTTCTTTTTAGTTGGAAAACAACAAAATCACCCAGACTGAGAATAAATATGAGCAGGACCCCAGAAGTACTTGTTTCTGCTCAGTAGATGCCCTTTTCCCCTTTGCAGAGTTACACTTCGAGGGTCCTAAAGGCAGTCTAGTTTTTCAGTTCCTGGGCTTTATTGAAAATAACTATTTTTTTGAAGTGAGCATTTCAGAGCCTTTAAGACTTGTGTTGTCAAGACGACGACAGAACCCATTTGTCCATCTATCTGCCCATTCATCCTATCATGTCCAAAGACCTGGAGACACTGTCCCAGAGTTTGCAGCAATCAGAAAAGGCATGTTTGCTCACCATTTTAGTTATACCCATGAGAAGGTAGCTTCTTTCATATGTTTTCCAGGTAATTTTAGCAGATAATCAATTCTTTTCTTCTTTATTCCCAAAGATGCTACTCATGTCATGACAACACATGTCATTTCCATTGCAGTCTGACCTGTCCTCATCTCTGTTCCCTTCCTGCCTGCCTGCAAGCTTGGCTCAGCAAAATGCTCTAGGAAGTTTGAATCTAATGTTTTGATTCCTTCCTTCCCCTCCCCTCCCCTCCCTCCCTCCCTCCGTCCCTCCCTTTCTTCCTTCCTTCCTTCCTTCGTTTCTTTCTTTTTTTCTTTCCTTCTTTCTTTTTGGCAATCCTGGAGCTTGAACTCAGGGCCTGAGCACTTTTTCTGAGCCTGTCTGTACTCAAGGCTAGCACTCTACCACTTGAGCCACAGTTCTACTTCTGGCTTTTTCTGTTTATGTGGTACTGAGGAATGGAACCCAGGGCTTCATGCATGCTAGGCAAGCACTCTACCACTAAGCCATATTCCCAGCCCAGTGTTTTGATTTTCTAATGAGGCCAAAATGGGTCTCTGTGCCCAGGATTCTCCCCTTGCAGGATGGCATAGGGACTGAGCACTTTTTTTGTTTTTGGTCGTGGGGCTTGAACTCTGGGCCTGGATGCTGCCCCTCAGCTCTTTAGCTCAAGGTGAGCGCTCTACCACTTGAGCCACAGTGCCACTTCTGGCTTTTTCTGCTTATGTTGTGCTGAGGTATCAAACCCAGGGCCTCATGCATGCAAGGCAAGCGCTCTACCACTGAGCCACCTTCCCAGTCCTGGGACTGAGCAATGTGTACTCAGCAAGATGATAGGGCTGATATAAACAGGTAACCTTCTTGTCCTTGCTCCTAAGATTGAATAAGAGAGCCAGGTAAGTGGGCAGGTGATGACAGGGGACATGTGGGCTGCTGAGGGTTCAACTTACCTTCCTACAGGGGAAGTTCTGGTCCTACCTGCAGGGGGAACCACGCCCCTGGACCTCTTCATACACACTCATACACTCTTGTTCCCCCTCAGTTTTTCCCTCTTGATAAGGCCCACAGGCCTATGTGCTCAGATGCAATGCCCATTGGCCCCTTTCATTGCTCATCTTTGTTTTTGGTTGGTGGTGGGGTTTGAACTTGGGGCCTGGGCGCTGCCCCTCAGCTCAAGGCGAACATTCTACCACTTGAGCCACAGCACCACTTCCAGTTTTCTGGTGGTTTTTTATTGGAGATAAGAGTCTCACAGACTTTCCTGCCCAGGCTGGTTTTGAACTGCGATCCTCAGATCTCAGCCTCCTCTGAGTTGCTAGGATTACAGGCGTGAGCCACTGGTGTCCAGCTTCATTGTGCATCTTTATGCAGGCTTTCCCAGGTCTCCTACTTCTAAGGTTTCCATCTCTGATTGGTGCTCTTGTTTGTCAGAGTAGCTACTGGTCCATGCTTGCCTTAGTTCTCTGGAGTCTGAGAACTGGAGTTTCTTAGTCTATGCTTGCCTTGCTTCTCCTTACAGAACACAGACACTGTGAGAATAGGACTTTCTTGGTCCATGCTTGCCTCACTTCTGACAGAACACAAACCCTGTGAGAATAGGAGTTTCTTTGTGCTTGCCTCGCTTCTTCAGACCCTGTGAGAACTGGAATTTTTTGGGCTGCCTCTTCCACAAAGGATTTTGGGATTTTTGTTGAATGAGCGAATCAAGAAATGAATGAATTGTGTGGACTAATAGGGAGGGGAGGCAGTAAAGTGAACAAGATCTTCAAAGTCTCCAGGGAAGGGGGAAGAGCCAAGCTTTGCTTGGGGTCAGGGGGTCAGTGTAGTATTTGGAGGGGCAGGGGTTGGGTGGGGTCTGGCTGCTGAGAGGGCTGCTGGGCTGTTGGGACCACCCGCTGTTAGAGCAAGCCTTGACTCTGGCCCATGTGAAAGATGTCTCATGACTCATTTCAGCCTGAAGCCTTTTCTGAGTTGCTTTTGAAATTCAGCTTTGGACTTTTAGGGGAAGCTGGATGGCTTCTCATCCACAGGATGTGGGGCTTAAGTTGGTTCCTGCCTAAGACACAAGCCTGACTTGCTTGCTTGTGGCCCACCACCCAAGCCCAGTAAGGGTTGTAAGAGCTTTCCCATCCCTGCCATGTCTTTTAGGGGGTATAGCGAGGGGACTAAGACTTGTGTTGGAAGGCAGAGGTCTCTCCAGGTTGAGTAGAAGGAACTTCTTCCCTAGTTGTAAGAGCTGTGTTCTCTCCCATTGCTGTCTTGCTGGGTGCTTGCCACAAAAACAAGCACTGACAAGGCCTACTGGGCACCTGCTATACATCAGGTCCACCATAGCTCCGTGGTCAGTGGTGTAGAAACCAAGATGCCAGAGCTGCTGCATTTGTGCTTGGAGGCCTCTAGGCTGAGCTGGCTGTGGCCTAGGCATGCATAGGTGAAGAGGATAGAATGCTGCTGGGTTACCTGATATGTGAAAGTTGTGTCTTGTGGGGATTTTGTTCTTTGTGGGAGTTTTGTTATTGTGGAGGTTATTATATGTGGGGATTATATTGTGGAGGGGTCTATTGCATGTGTGTTATTGTGTAGGGTAACTTTATAAAGGTATTGTTGTATAGAGATTTATGTTTTGTGTGGATTTTGTGTGCTGTGTGGAGTTGTGTTGTTTTGTGGGGTTGCATAGTGTGTAGGTTGTGCCATGTTTGAGTTATTGTATGTAGGGAATGTTATATTGGGGTTGTGTTGTATTAGGGTGTGTTACTTTGTCTTTATGAGTTGTATTATGTGTATGTTGTGTTGTGGGATTGTGTATGTGGGGGATTGTAAAGTTGTGAAGAGATTGTTTTGTGTAAAAGGGTAGTGTGTGGATTTGTATTGTGTGAGTTGTGTTGTGGAAGTTGGTGTATGTTGGGTAAGGTTTGCTGTGTATGGGTTTTGTTGTGTAAGGATGTATTATGTTGTGTGGAATTGTGTTGTGTGGAGGTTGAGTTATGTGTGGGTGTGTTGTGTGGGGGAAGTGTATGTAGAGAGTGTTACGTAGAGGTTGTGTTGTATGTGGTTGTATTGCGGGGGTTGTATATAGGATTTTGTTGTATAGAGTGGTGTCATATATGGGTTGTGTTTGTGTTGTGTGGTTTATGTTTTGAGGTGGTCCTGTATGGTTGTATTGGATGTGTTGTAGGAAGGAGCTGGCTTGGTGGGCCACTGCCTTGGCTTTAGTGGGCCAAGTGGTCTTCTGAAATGAGGCCTAGTTGGACACTGGATGTAGAAACAGGGCCTGGACAGATATCAGATGTAGAGAAGGGGCCTGGATGGACACCGGATGTGGAAGGTGGTCTCCCCTCCACCAGAGCCCTGTGCTCTGGGTGCTGCTGTAGTCCTTCTACCTCTCACCTCTGCTGTTTTCAGGCCACTCACATGATGCTCTGCCACACAGCCAGGGCCTGAGAGGATAGGCTTGTACCCAGGAAGAGGTTTGAGAGGTTGGCTCAGCTGCCAGCTTTCTGACAAAGTCTAGAGGAGTCAGGAAGAGGTGGCAGAGAGCAGCTGAGGAAATCTAGAGACCATCTTTCTTATATGGTCAGAACTTTCCCCTAGTAACCTTAAAATTAGAAAGTACAAATAGCCGCTGAAAAGCAAAGGCTTGTGCCAGTGAGCAGGACCATTGAACTTTTCCACTGTGGTATAGAGGAAGAAACTGAGGCTCAGAGAGGGAGAAGTGCTAGCTCAGAATTAGACCAGGACCATGGTAGAACTGAGATTGGTGAGTGGCACTCACGTGGTGGAGAGTGCTGCTGTGCCTCAGAAGCAGTGCGGGGCCAGAGTAGGCAGGAGGGCTGAGAGCTGAGTTTGGAAGAGCTGATTGTTGGCTCCTTCCAGGCTCTGTTTTTGAAGCACAGATGGTAAGAGTGGACATAGGAGCCCTCACTTTTCTGGGTGATGTTAATGGCTGAATCTGGGCCTCAGTCAGCTTCCACTGACTGCAGTTACCACCTTTACAGAGGTTGACAGTTCACAGTATTCCTGCTCAGGAACAGTGTTCCTGTGTGCCAGGCTGGCTTGAGGGATCATGTTCCCTTTTGACTAAAATCCCAGGATATCAGAAATGGTCCAGCTTTAGAGAAAGAAGGGTGGGCAGGCAGGCTTCTCTGTTGTCTCTGGAAACATCAGGATGCTTTGCCAGATAAAGAAGGTGCAAATATTACACACCTGAAACTGATGACTTACAGAGCCCTGTCCTTTGCTTCCTGTTTGATTCTGCAGATTGGTGACAGGAATATGGTTGTGAGAGGATTGTAGAGGGGGATGGCATCCTCGGGGGAAGCTATGCAGAAATAAAGGCTACTTGGCAGGGCTGGTGTTTTTTCCTAGTGACTGTCTGGCCTCATTAAACCTCAGCCCATCAGGCTAGCAGTCGGCCTCCCACCCTCTCCTTAGTCAGCTACACAGAACCAGGCAGCAGGACTGGGGTTTTTCCACTGGAGAAAGAGAGACAAGACTCACTCCATTCTCTACCTACCTGCCCTCCCATCCCACAAGAATCTAGACCAAGGAGGGGTCTTGGAGGGCCGGTGTGAATGGGAGATTCAGTGATGCCACCCTGTGAGTCCTCCTCCCTTCTGAAATCCTAGAGATCGAGACCAAGAGGAGGAGGGGCACTTTGCCTAGATCACTCTGGATTTGGGAGCAGAACAAGGCTTGGAGCCCAGGTCCTGAAGCCCCAGGCCACTGTCCTCCTGCTCCTCCCTCCAGAGACTCAACCCAGACAGCAGGCAAGCAGAGTGGAGAGGGCCATGGCCTATCCATACCTACCAGCTTTCTCAGAACTTTTATAGACTCATGGGCATGTCCAAGTGGATGCCAGGCAGTGTTGAGGCCCTTAGGGTAGAAATATCTCTGTTCTTAAACACTTGGGCAAGTGTATTATGAATAATTTCCCCATCTACCTCTCCCTAGACAAATGCTTTCACCCTGCCCTTCTGAGAGGAACTGGACTCTTGAAGACACTTCTGGTGAAAGAGCCTGGCCAGGTGCCAGATTCCTGGTAGGAATGTGGTAGTCATGTGTCTGAGTTGCTGAGGGTTGCACAAGGGTTGCCTCTGAGTGAAGATCGTGTCCAGGTGATGTAGGCAGACACAAGTGACTCCTTCCTGTGTCGTTCCTTCAGGGCAAGCACTCAGGCACATACATTCAGTCTGACAACTTCAGGCAGGCTAAATGCCAGAACATAAGGGTGAAGTATGTTGGAGGAATGAAGGCCAGGTAGGAGTTGGGAGTGTGATGCCTGAGAACTAGGAGAAACCCTGGGGCTCCTGACTGTCTAGATACTGCACTTTCCCAGCCCCACCGTGTTGTCTAGAAAACCATGTCTTAAATTGCCATGGCCCAGATGGAGAAGGCTGGAGGGCAGCAGGGAAGGCTGCAGAAGCTATGGAACAGATAGACAGAACAAGGACTTTGTAGACATAGGCAGGTTCAGAGGATCATAGACAGAACCTATAGAGTTGAAGATGGCTTGTACCAGGAGCAACATCTCTTGGTTGTATTACATGGTGCTAGCGAGACAAGTCTAAGATCAAAGGGACATTCGTTCTCAAGACCAAATACCTGAGAATAGAGCTCAGAGGTAGACTGCATGTCTAGTGTACACAAGGCCTTGGCTTCGGTCATCAGCACAGAATGAAACAAAACCAAGATCTTAGGACATTGGGTATACTATGTAGTGGGAGGCAGCCTGCCCTGGTGAGCCAGTGCCCTCTAGGACCAGGCTCAGGAAGGTGGGTTTGAGACTCAGGATGTGCAATTAGCAGGATGCAGCAGACCTTGGGGGAGAGTAGGGAATGGCACCAGAGCTGTGCAGACACAATGGAGTCCATACTTTGGGTTCTGAATCCAGAGATAAATGTCCAGGCCTCTTTCCTCTGCCTGACAAGTTCTGCTGTTCAGACCAGGCTTGTCCTTGATACAGCCTCTCCTGAAACCGAGAGCAGTGTTTTCTCAGTGTTCTTTTCTAGTTAGTTGTGACCTGGACCAGTGCTCTGGCAACTTGGGCTCTGCTTCGATGACACTGAGGTTACCATTTCCTGCAAGGAGCATCATAGGCTTCTGAGCCTGGAACAGCAGCAGGTGGTGGCTGCATTCTGTTCCTGTGCACTGAATGTGTGCTGCATTCCTATGTCCTGAGTGCCTGCTGCTTGGTTATGTTCTTGTGTGTAGAGTGCTTGCTGCTAGTTTGTGTCTCTGCACACCAAGAGCTTACTGCTGTGCTATGCCCCTGCATGTTATTTGCCACTGGGTTATGTTCCTGTGTGCTGAGTTTTGCTGCTGGGACATGTTCCTGCCTACTGCATGATGCTTGGTTTTGTTCCTGTACACTGAGTACCTGTAGGGCTATGTTCCTGGTACTGTCTGCTACAAGGTTATTTTCTCACATACTGAGTGCCTTATGCAGGGTTATCTTCCCATCCTGAGTACCTGCTGGTACTGAGTGTTAGCTGTTGGGTTATATTCCTGTGTACTGAATGCTTGCTGCTGGGTTATATTCCTGTGTACTGAATGCTTGCTGCTGGGTTATATTCCTGTGTACTGAAAGCTTGCTTCTGGGTTATATCCCTGTGTAATGAGTGCTTGCTGCTGAGTTATTCTCCGAAGTGTTTGCTTTTGGGTTTTTTCCCTGCTAGGCTCATTGAAGCTGCAGGACCAGTGGCAGCCCCCTGCTCTGCGGCTCAGCCCGGGTATGGGGATGGGGGAGCTGAGGTTGTCACAGTCGTGATAGGAACAAGCACCAGGTCCCTGGCAGGTGCCGGCTGCTTAAGGTGCCAGTGCTCTGAGCAGCGGCATGTCCAGCAGGTGCCATCTGTGTAAGGTTCCAGTGCTGTGAGCCATGGCTCATCAGGCCAGTTTTTTCATGGGAAGAATGAGAGGCTGCTGTGTCCTGTCACTCTCATTTTTAAAGTGAAGGCCCACAACATCCTGCCTGCAGGTCCCTGGCCCTGCATCCTGGCCCTGGGCAGTCATTGCCCACCATGGTGGTTTTAGCTAGTCTCTTGGTTTTCTTCTGTCCCAGGGCAAGGGACAAATTGTGGTATTCTCTGCCATCTGTACCTTAGTGTGAAGTTCAGGCATTTTGGTGACTGAGAACTTGGAACTCTCTGTTTATGTGTGCTGCTCAGTGGGGTCCCCCCCAGGCCTTTTTTCTGGTTAGGAAACTATCCACTGAAGTGGCTTCTGCAAGAACTTCAGAGCCCCGGGCAAGGCATGAAGCACAGCTCCGAGAGCCTGGAAATGCCAAATGGAAAGAAATGGCTATATTTGGCTGTTGCTCTTCCTCCTTCATTCTCCACACACCAGGAACCTCTTAGTCACATTTTTATTGCAGGAGCCTCAGCCCCTTTGGTATTGGCTGCCCATGCTGCCTGAACCTCTTTCCTAGGCTGTGCCCATCACTCTCTATTCATCCATCTCTGACCCTTCTCCCCACCACCCCATGGTGGCTTATAGTTCCCCTGACCCTCCTTACCTTCTCTGGGAAATCTGCCCGCCCTCTACCCTTCTCCTGCCTTTTTATGCCCTTCTTCCTAGGAGTCTTAGGGTCTCCTTAAGCTTGGTGAGTCAGAGGCTAGCTGGATCTCCACCCTGACTGTCGCACAGCTTTACTCTCCATAGTTCAGTTACAGCCATAGTGTCATTCTTGATAGTGTCCTCCCCTCACCCCAACCCCTTGTTTAAGAATCGGCCTTTTAGGCTTGGCACATGGTCTCCTTGGAACCGTGGCCTCATCTCCTGTTGTATGCAAGTGTGGAGCATTTGTTGGTCTCTAGGGCTAGGGAGTCGGGATGGCCAAAGCTGGGGCAGGGAAGTGCCTCACATCTGCCTGAAGTGGCAGCTGTTCCAGGGCATGCCTAGTGGCTCTCCTGGCCTCTGTCAGCACATGGCCCTTTCTGAGCATACTTCTGGCCCTGCCAAGCCCCTGGGGCCCCTTGGCTCCAGTGGGCTGTTTCCTGAGCCTTCATCTCCTCTAGCTGCTTTACCCTTGGTCCATCTGAAGGCTGTTCCCTTGGTCCAGGTCTGCAGAGGACCTTCATCATAAGGCCAGGCTCCACTTGGAGTCCCTGGGCTACAAGTGACCTCAGGGAGAGGGGAGCCCTTGGAAGTGCAAGAGCTGTGTCTAGGCTCTTGCCTGGGAGCATAAGCACATTCCATTTCTTGTCTTCAGGCTGCTGCAGCCTTCAGATGCCCAGAGGACACGCTGCCTCACCCTGGCCATCGCAGACATCCTGTGGCGGGCTGGGGGCCACCAGCGAGCCGTGGTCACATTGTGAGTAGATTCAAGGGCTGCCCAGTTTATGCTGGTACAGCTATAGGCCACCCTGCTGTGGGCACCCCAGCCTCAGTGGGAGGACTATATGCTGGGCATCCTGCCTTGCGTAAGGGACCAGGGAAGCCCCCCTGACTCTTCTCTGAGGAAGCCAGTGAACTCCACAGCTGGTTGCCCTGTGTATGTTCCCAATCCCTAGGCCCTGGAAAACACCCCTCAGCGTGGCCCTATTTGTGTCACCATTCCCAGTCCCTGGTGAGGGACACACTGGAGCCCCCTCACATCTTGTTTCCTGGAGGAAGAGTCTGAAATGGAACCCAGGCCTGGACTCATGGGCCCTGATTCTGTCCTGACCCTGTCCTGTCCTCCACAGTCTGCAGGGATGAGCTTGCTGTCCTTTGGCCTAGCTTCTCAGAGTATACAAGTCACTTTGTCCCAGCTAGGAAGCTAAGCTTTCATAGAGGAGGTACCTTGGGATCCACGGACCACGTACTGGTTTAGGGACTTAAGAGAAGGGACTCCCAGAGACAGACTCTCAGAGCTGTAGTTGACTAGCCCTGTGACCTTGGGCATGTGCCAAGATCTACCTCTATGCCTCATCTGTTTACTTGTTAGAAGAGGATTATAGCCATGAGTATTTTATCGGATGGTTGTGAGAACTAAGTAAGTCAGTATAAATAAATGATACATGTAATATATATAATGTTATTAGGTTGAGTCCTTTGTCAGTATAGATGAATGATAAATAATAAATGTGGAGTTCCTAGGGCAGTGCATTATCACTGTGACTGCCACAGTCATTCCTGTGGTTACTGCTATCTGTCTGTGCAGTCTCTCCTATTGTAACTGCTTACCTGTCTGCACAGTCTCTCCTGTTGTTACTACTATCTGTCTACACAGTCACTCCTGTTGTTACTGCTTACCTGTCTCCAGTGCTCAGGCCCAGGTAGCTTGTGACCCTTGACCCTGAAGAGGGATGTGACAGCACTCAGGGAAGAAAGAGTAGGGCTAGATTTCTCCCTGTTGTAGAGATTAAGAAACAGAAGCACAGAGAAGGGAAGGTAGCAGGCCTCACAGCTGCTGCTGGCACATAGCCCCATACTCAAATCCTGTGCTGAGTTGGTGCTGGTCACCCAGTTGTGGTTGCTTGATGGTCCCAGTGGGGAGGCATTAGAGAGACCAGGGCACAATTTCCTACCCAGGGACAGCAGTGGGACAGCTGCCGCCCTAGTGTTCGTGTTGTGAGTGCCAGGCAGACTTCCTCCTGGCAGGCATAGGCTTGCATACTTACTCCAAGCTCACCCTCTGTCTCTTTTTCCACTCATTTTTTTTCTTTTCCTGCTGGCGATTTCTCTGGGCCAGGCTAGTGGGTAAGTTCAAAGCAGGGAAAAGGAGAAGTCTGGCCAGTTCCTTCCATGGGAGCCACCTTCTCATTTGTCCTTGCATAATTACACAGCCAGACACAGCCACAGTGGCCTCCCAGGCTGAAAGCTGGGTAGACTGTAGGCCTGGCAGGCAGGAAACTTTGCAAGTGGGAGGCTGGTGTTCCTCTTAACCAGGACTTACACACCTCTTTTCCTTTTTAGGGCTTCAGGAACACAGCAGTTCAGTCCAATGGGGAAATACAAAGCAGATGGAGTCTTAGAAACAGTACGGCTTTCTGGAAATTATCACTCAACTTTTGGCTTTGTTTGGGGACTGTCTTTCCTGTCCAGCTGGGGCTGGACAGGCCTCCATCCAGTGCAGCCCAGGCTGCACAGACTCCTGTGAGGGATTGGGGTGGGCAAAGGTAGTAAGCTGTGAGGATGGACTCCAGCTATGTCCCCACAGCCTCAGTGGCCCCCAGGGTGCCCCCCTCTGACCCCACAGCTGCACATAGTACATCAGCTGGGCCTGGCCTTCTCACTGTCTTCCTACGGCTTGAGCATCTTTAGGGTTCTTCCAGGATGGTGGGGTAGATGGCTCTGGGAGGAGAGGAAGTTAGGAGTGGGGAAGAGCAGGGAGTGAGGAGCGCCAGCCACAGGGCTAGATCCAAGTGGAGCAAGGGGAAGAGAGAACACGCTTGTCTTTCTGTTTTGTAAACATCAGCACAATGAAAAATCTTTTTTTTTAACTGTATTTTTTTTTTTTTTGTCTTTTCTTTTTTGGTACTGGGGATCAAACCCAGGACCTCGCACTTGCTAGACAAGCGCTTTGCCACTGAGCTACATCCCAGCCCACAATGAAAAATCTTAAAACTTGCCACCTCTTTACTGAGAATTTTTGTTTTAACCAGTTGGTTTCATTTGACCTTGCTGGGACATAGGTAGCCCTGGGCCCTCATGCAGGGCTCCACTTTGTTGGATATTTTCTTTTCCTTGACCTGCTGGAGCAGGCCATGGGGGGGGGGGGGGTGGTAGGAGGGCTACAGCTTCTGTTTCTCCTGGATTCAGGACCAGCCCAGGTTCTCCTGGCCCTGTTTCCCTGTCTCAGGAAGGTCCTGTGCCTTAGTCTCAACATATGGGAATCCTGGGGACTCCAAGGGAAGTCAGGGCTGCTTGGGGCTGACTGGCCTGGAGTCACAGAAGCTTAGGTATGGGGATGCCAGCTCTGTAGGAAACCACTCTTCTCAGGGACTTGAGGGTTTTGCAGTGTTAATTCTAGGGCCTGAAGACAGACTCTGGATGAGGCGAACAACTCACCCTTGTATCTTCCCTCAGCTCATGCTCCATAGTTTGACCTGCTATGAAGATCTGGTGACTTTTCTTCAACACAGCATTCAGCAGGTATGAGCAACTGTTTGTTTTCATGATGTCATTAAGCCTTCTCACTTCCTTGTGGAAGGGCCTGCTGGGCCCTGATGCTGGAGCCAAAAACGATGGGGCTATGTGGGCTGGAGAAATGTGGACCAGGGTATGACATGCAGCCTCTGCAGCGCTTTGCCCGGAGCAGTCCCCCATTAGACTGTGAGAACCTGCCTGGAAAGGGAGCTGGGCCTATAAAAGGAGCAGGGCCTGGGAAGGGAATGAGACCTGGGAAAAGAGTGGGGCCTGAAAAGGGAGTCAGACCTGGGAAGGAAGCCAGGCCTGGGACCAGAACAGGGCCTGGAAAGGGAAAGAGCACAAGACAAGGCTGCAGGGCTCTTTGTCTGTCTGAGAGCAGGCCCAATTCCATATCAGATGAAGAGGTTTCCTGGGCAGGCAGTTGCCAACTGGTGCTTATGGGACCCTGTGTGGCACAACCATGTGCCAGTGTCCTGGAGAGGCCAGGCTGGCCCAGGCAGGGACCCTGCGGGGGCCCAATCTACCCAGGGAGCCCATATAGTCAACACTGGCTGAGAGACTGGCTCTAACCGGATGACATTAGGGCAGATAGATCAGTTAGAATCCTCTATGGAGGGAGTCCACAGCTTCTGGAGCCTGTCAACCTGGATTGTGTCCAGGTTATACCTCTGAGTAACTTTGCAGCCTCAGATAGCACCCTGAACCCCTCTGCACCTCAGTTTCCTCATCTGTCAGACATGGGTGGTAATAGCTGGGCCTGTTGCAGGATACCATCCAAGGGCCAGAGCACCTGGACAGAGCAGTGTCCTTGTTATTGTCCACATTTGTTGGTATTAATCATGGTCCCAGGGCCACCTTGGAAGGGCTTGTTGTAGATGTATGAAAAAAGACATTGTGGAGTACAAATGCAGCATGGGCCAAGGCCAGAAGACCCCCAACCTCCAAGACCCCCAACTACAATCCAGGAAGAGGAGACCCCGACCTCTAAGACCACTAACTACAGTTCAGGGACAGGAGATCCTGATCTCAGATACCCCCAACTACAATCCATGGAGAGGAGACCTTCATCTCTGAGGCCCCTCAATTACATTCCAGGGACAGAGATTCCAACTAAAGTCCAGGGACAGGAGACCCCAACCGCCGACATCCCCAACTGTAGTCCAGGGACCCTGATTCTAGGTATCTGTGAGTACATTCCAGGGACAGGACCCCCCAATCTCTGAGACCCCCAACTACTGACCTCACAGCCCTGATACCCACTGTTAGACCACCCCCAGCCTTCTCCTGCCTTTACTCAGTTCTCTGGCTGTGAGATCTGTTCTGTTAGGCCCAGAGAAGACAGAGGTTTGTTTTTGTATGTTTGTGTGTATGAGAGAGAGAGAGAGAGAGACAGACAGACAGACAGACAGACATGTACCTGAGCAGGGAGACTTTGCTGATACTATCCCCAGAACGTAAGAGGTCTGGCCCAGCTTAGAATGCAGCAGGCCCACTAGTACTAGATGTCCTTGGCAGAAAGAGGGCTGCCCTGGCAGCAGGAAGAGGGGTCCCCATGAAGTCATTTGACTCCAGTGCTGAGACCTCCCATACTAGTAGCCCAAGAAGCAGACCCAGAGCCTGCACATGAACCCAGATTTGGGCCTTTCTGTGTGGTATGGGGGAGAAATAGGTTGGGTGTGCCTTCTGCAGGAATCTAGGCCCTGGGCTGATGTCACCTGCTGCTTGCCTAGGCTCCTTTGGATTCTGGGAATAAGGCAGAGGGCTGAATGCCAGTTCAGTACATTCCCTGCCCTCCAGAGTAGTGAGAGACCAGGCATGAGGGCTGTGAGCTCCCGGCTGCTGCCTGGTCACAACCAGCCTTGGGAAAGTCCTGGCTCCTGTTTCCTTAACTGAAAATGGAAGAAAGCACAGTTGCCAGATCTAGTGGTGGATCTCAAGGAACCTAAATGCTGCAGGAGAGCTTTTCTGCACACAGCTCTTAGAGTTGCTGGATAAACCTGTTAAATGCAGTGTTGTGAGGCTGCATCAGCATCCCCAGGGCTGCTCTCAGCCTGATGGCCTCAGCATTTGAGTAGCCTGGATGGAGGGTGGGATGAATATGGAGCTGCCCAGCCAGAAGAGAAGTGACAAATGAGGCTCCTGTGATAGAAGAACCCCAAATGAGCACTCAGTAAGTAGGCCCTAGCTCTGTAGATTGATCACTGCCTCTGGTGAGGGGCCAGCCCTCAGTACCAGGCCTCCAGACCCACAGGTAGGGTCTCATCTGTGTGTCTGGCCAAGAGAGGAGTTTAGTGTTTGGGTGCTAGCGGCAGGCCCCTCCTTCATGTGGTTGCTACACCCCCGGCAGGCTCCTCCCTGGCCCAGCCCGTGGTGCACTGGGCCAGCCAGTCCCTGGCCCTTGTCCCTCTGGACAGTAATGCTCCCCACAGCTTAGTTTATGTTTTTGCTGGACACAACTGAGCTGTCTCAGCACTGGGCTCACCAAGTCCATTTTTATGGGTTGGCCTAAGAGGAGCTCCCCTTGCCAGGCCTGGAAATGTACACCAAGCCATCTCTTCCCAAAACAAATAGACTCCTTGCTTGCATTTCATTACCACCCACCCCCAGCAAGGTGTCTGGTGGCCCAGGTTAGCTCAGGTACCCCACACTGCCTCCCATTGGAGCCCCACGGTGGGCCCAGGTCTCTCTATGGCCACAGCTCTGTTTGGGGAGAATGGCCCCTTTTTCCCGAGTGGCACCAGACATTGTTCTGGCCCCAACTGTGGTTTCCGGCCCTGCCTTCTGCCAGGCTTGCCTCTTAAGCCGGCCTGTTGTCCTGTGGCCTCCCATGTCTTGGCAGCTAGATTTTGATGAGATAATTTTAATAGATGTTTTTAGAAGCAAGATGGAATACTGGTACCAGTCAGTTGTATTCTGATGGGTAAGGAGGCCAAACAGGGACCACTTCCCTGCCCTGTGCTGGGAGCCAGCCTGAGTGCTGGCTCATCTTGGGGTGGTCCAAGGACTGGAGTGACAGCAACAGCCCCCACCTACACAGGATCTTGGGCCCACTGTGTCATTGCCATTCTTGTGTCTTACTGTCACACAGGCAAGGCAGTGCCTTAGGGAAGATCCTCCTGGCACCAGAATTTTAGTCAGTAGGCTTTGTTATTTTATGACTGATTAATTGACTAATTAAATTACTGGATGAAATAGAGATTATATTTCAAGAAAGAGATATTTTTGTCAAAAGCTTAAGCTACAATAATTACCAAACAATACAATATTTGGTTCTGAGTTTCCTGGCAGCCAGTGCAAAAATGGAAATATGATAAATTGTATAATTTTTATTGGTTGTGGTAAAAGAAACAAGAATCTCCGCCCCCCTCAGCATTTTTAAACACATTTCATACTGATATACAGCTGTAGGACAGGTATAAGAGGTGGCAAGAAGTGACTCCTCAGGGAACATGGTCTGTCATAGCTGGTTGTGACTCCTGGATTTGCTGAACAGTTGGGCAATGCAGAGCCAGAATCATACTAACAGAATTGGCCCACCTTGGTCTTTCCCTCTCTCCCTTCCTCTCTTCCTTCTAGTTTTGCCTAATCCTAGCTACTTAGGAGCCCAAGATCTGAGAATTGAAGTTCAAAATCAGCCTGGCAGGAAAGTCTGTGAGACTCTTTATCTCCAAGTAACCAGCCAAAAAGAAGAAAAAGCTGGAATTGGAACCTTGAACAAAAGCAACAACAATACCCCCAAAACAAACTCCAGGGATAGCACTCAGGCCTTGTCACACACATACACACACAAACACAAACAAAACAAAAATCCACGATGAACAAAATACCAAACCTTTGATGTTCAAAAATAGAAAAATTTACCAAAAAAGCCACATTTTGATCTACCTCCCTCACCTTCCTAGGAGCCGCCCCCCCCCCCCCCCCCCCCGCTCCCGTTACTGCTGAGAACAGTACAATGCCATATGAGGAGCTGGCATTGGGGCGGCCCCAGCTTCCTGTGGAGTGTTCAGAAGCTGTGTAACTTCAAGCAGGTCACCTTGTCTCAGCCTCAGTGGCTGACTAAGGGTGATGAACAGTGCTTACCCCCAGTCTTGGCCCCCTAATAGAGCTCTCAATTAACTTCTGTGGCCCTCAGGGTCTCAAGGTCATGGGCGGCCTCCATGGTGGCCTGTGTGTCACTTGTGCCCTGTCCCTATTGTTCCTGAGCCTGGGGTACCACTGTCCTTTAGAGGGGCTGGCTGGTGAGATCCACATGAGTTGTCTGCAGGTCATAGGCCTGGGGCATGTTTCTGTCTGGTGTGACCCCAGGCATGCCTGTGTCCTTATCCTTTCTCTCCCACAGTTTGAAGCAGGCCCATTTGGCTGCATCTTGCTCACCCTGTCTGCCATCCTGTCCAGGTCCCCAGAGCTGTGAGTATCTCTCTATCCTCTTAGAGGGGTGGGGTGGGGGCAATTGGGGCTGGCTCTTCCCTGCTGTTCCCATCCCCTGCTCCAAGCCAGGCCAGTGTCCGACACAAAATGAGCCTAGTATCTGGTTGAAAGGAAAATTGGCTGGGGGAGGGGGGAGTGGGCAGGGTGAGGAGGAGGGCAGCTGTGTTCTCACCTGCCCAGGCCACCTCCTTGCCTCTCTCGCAGACTTTGTGTGGACTTCAGCACTCATACTTTGGGATGCAGGGGGTGGGCAGTGGAGGCTGAGCACCAAGAGGTGACTCAGTCTCTTAAGAAGCAGGGAGAGGGAGCTCTTTGTGTGTTGTCCCAGGTAAGATTGAACTGATGTTGAGGACCAGTTTCTGAGCAGGTGAGTAAGTGGGTGCCAAGGGGCCTGGTCAGCAAGGAGGGGCACTGGCTGGGTCCCCCCTGTGCAGTCCCTGTATATTACCAGGAGCTGAGCTCTATGCAGCTTGCTCCACAGGAGCTATCTGGGCCTCTTGTTATCTTGGCGCTCTGTCAACAGGAACAGCAGAGTAATAGCAGGTGGACAGCATGGTGAGGTGAAGCATGGTGATGGCTCTGTTCCTTTCAAGCAGAGGTGAACCCGAAAGCCAGGAGGCCTGGGAGAGTGATTTGACTTTTGGGGGTCTGACAGGGAAGGCTTAGAAGCAGTGCTCAGCTGGATCCAGAGGAGGACTTCCTGCATGGCTCTGAGGTGTGTAGGCAGGGAGGCCCGTTAGAGGAGATGCTTGATCCTTCTGTGGCTATTACTGTTCTCCTGGGCCTCTGTTGCAGTCAGGAGGGGGCCACATGCTCTGCTCCTGTGTCAGCTTGTCTGCCTGCTACTTGTTGCCCCTGACCTTATCTAATGGATGTGTGTATAGCACTTGCTGGGTGTTTTGTCGTGGAAGGACTAGGATATGAGTTGTTCCTGGCATGGGCCTTTGCAACCCCTCCAGGCCTGGCTTACTAGTCCCTGCATGGAGGGCTGGTGGGGGACTTCCAGCCTCATACAATCTCTAGCCAGGCCTCAGCTTCTGTCCTCCCCATTCTGTCCAACTAGACCAGTTCCAGCCCAGGTTGCAGCACCTGTGGGCAATTGGTTGGTGTGCAGAAGACATATAGACCTGCATAGCCTCTGCTAATGAGCTTGGGGTCCCAGTTCTGCCAAAACACATGTGCCCACACATGCACAGATACACACAGGCAATATACACAGACACAAGATAAATGCACAGATACAGACATGTATACACAGACATGGGCACACAGATACACATATATACACATACAGATGTGGACATACAGGCACATGTGTACACACATAGACACTTGGGAACATAGGCACACACATACAGACATGGGCACACAGGTAGACACAGAGGCACAAATGACACACAGATGTGAACACACAAGCAAACAGAGGTGTACATGTACACACATACAGATGTGGCCACATAGAAGGACACATTAGAGGCACACATGTTCACACAGACATGGGCACAGTGCAGACCCAGATGCACACATGTACATACGTATAGATGTGGCCGCATAAGTTGACACATAGAGGTACACAGGTATACACATGTAGACATGTGCAGACACAGACACACATGTATACACATATAACGTGGACCTACAGACACATAGAGGCACATGTGTATACACATACAGATGTGGACACATAGATAAAGGCACATGTATATACATATACAGATGTGAACACAGACACATAAAGGCACATATGTATATACATACAGATGTGGGCACACAGGCAGACACATAGAGGCATACATTTATACACATACAGATGTAGACATACAGGTGTATGTGTACACAACATAGAGATGTGGAAATACAGGCACCTGTGTACACACATATAGACATGGTAGATACAGAGCCGCAAACGTACACACAGATGTTGGCACACAGCAGACATGTAGAGGTGCACATGTACACACAAACAGATGTGGGCACAGTCAGAGGCACACATGTACATATCTACAGCTGGCACACAAACACAGATGTACACACAGACATTAGCACACCGGCAGACAGGTAGAGGTGTACATGTATGCACATACAAATTTGACACGGGCACAGGTGTGAGCACAGAGGCAGACACAGGCGCACACACATACAGATGTGAGCACACAGGCAGACACATAGAGGCACGTGTGTATACACATACAGATGTGGGCAGACAGGCAGACAGGTGCACATGAACACATACGGATGTGGGCACATAGGCATACATATAAACATACAGACAGGAACACACAGGTAGACACATAGAAGCACACATGTATACACATACAGATGTGGGCACACAGGTACACATGTTACATACAGGTGTGGGCACACAGGCAGACACATAGAGGTGACATGCACACAGGCAGGGACACATAGGCACATGTGCACGCATACAGACATAAGCACATAGGCAGATGTAGGCACACATATACACAAATACAAATGTGAACGCACAGGCAGACAGGCGCATGTGTATACAAATACAGATGTGGGCACACAGGCAGACCCATAGAGGCATACAGGTACACATGCAGATGTGGGACACAGGCTGATAGACAAACATATATATACAGATATGAACTCACAGGCAGACACAGTTTCATGTGCTCAAATACAAATGTGAACATACAAGCAGACACAGGCCCACATGTACACAGGTGCCATTAGCTGTCTCCAGACTAAGAGCCTTCTCTGGGCCCTGTGTGAAGATAATTTGTGGCCCATGGGACAGCCTGGATCTCAGCTTCCCAAAGGACTCAAATGGAGGTCCTGTAGGCTTGGCTTTGTCTTACCCCCACAGTTCTCCCTGTCCCCCCACCCCCATCTTTACAGGACAAGCCCGTGAGCAGTGCCAGTAAAGGCAGTCACAATGCCTAGCGTTCTGTGTGCTAGATCTTTGATCTCTGCCTAGATGCTCATCTTTGTTCCCATCACCCTATGAAGGGGTCCCTGTGATCATCTGTGCAGAGGTAAATAGTCTGCCTTTTATAAGAAATGGCAGCTGGGGGATTCTTGGTTGGCTGTTTATGGAGCCAAGCTTGAGAGTGATAACAGGTGTCAGTGTCCTCTAGCCTAGAGCATCTTTCCCAGGAAGTGGGTTGAGGACTCCTGCCTCCTGAGATGGGCTGTGCCTGGCATGACCCTGCTGTATGTTCCTTTGAGTGGTGGCCGCTACTCTGTGTTGCTGCCTGCTTTAGGCTTGTCTTGGTACCCTGAGGGGAGGTCATAAGGCCTCCTTGGGGACATAGTGATGCTCACACAGGTCCTTCTGTGAGGTGCTTGTTCTTGGCAGGCCCTTTCTGAGCAGAGGTGGGTCCTGAGCACCGAGTGCCATTGCTTGGAGGGGCCCAAGGAGGGCTAAGTGGTAGGACCAGGCTCTGACTTAGATGATCAGTGGAGAGGTGACCCTGAAGACACCTCTTTCTGATCTGTTCAGGTAACAGAAAATGTTCATTAGATGGAAGGCTTCTAGTAAGGGCAGCTTGAGCCACATGTTCCCAGGAGGCTGAGATCTCACTTGTGCTGACCCTATCCCACCACTGTCCAGGTAGACATAGTCTGGAGTAACAACAGGACTGGGGGCAGCTGAGAGGTCAGATCCCTTGTCCCTGAAACAATCTCATAGTGTCATTGCAGTGAAGGGCTCAGCTGACAACAATACTATCTGTGGGCCGAGTCTGAGTCCCTGCCTCCTTCCTTGCACGTCAGGTGACAGATGCTGTTCAGTTGTTTGCCAGCTTATAAGGAAAAGTGTATAGTGAGGTCCAAACAATCTGCGACAGGCCCGGTGCTGGATGGACTGCTGTGCTACAAGATCAGAATGGGCCACATTCATGGGTTGCCAGACATGGCAAGGCACAGTGAATGCCCACAGGGTCAGCTGAGGGCCATCATTATGTCCACAAACACTAAGCCTAAGCTAGAGGAGAGAGGCCCTCATCCTGCAGCTAAGGACAGGAACCAGGCCCAGGTTTCATGGGGTCTCTTGTGACCCTTGATCCCCTTGTATTATGTATAGCACCACTCACCTCAGAACTATATACTTTGCATGAAGAAGACAGGCCTGGGAGGAGGGAAGTACTTACTCTGGAAGGTTCTATGCCAGACTAGCCTCAGCTAGGGGTGGGCTGATTCCCTCTTCCTTTTCATGTCTCCTGGGGTCCAGCTTCTGAAACTACTCTGCAGGATGTCCTCATTCCCACTGTCCCTCACCATGTGTGGTATATTTGCTCTGCATTTGTACAATCTAGAGCTTGGGTCTGGCACCAGGAATGAGACAGACATGACATGATCTGGTCCTGAAAGACTGCTGCCTGGAGGGTGGAGACAGGCACATGAGGATGGATTGATGCTCATCTTCGGGCAAAGAGGGGTGCCTTCATGGAGGAGGGGATGTTTAGCAGGGTTCTAAAGGAAAGCCAGAAGGGTTTTGACAGCCAACAGGAACAGCATGACACAGACTACTATAGCTGCCCAGGGTCTGGTCAGGGATGAAGGTATAAGTGGGAGGTAGCCTGGCTTTGAAGCAGTAAAGACTTGTAGTTCAGCTAGGTCCCATTTCTCCACCCTGAGAAGCCTCTACCAAGTTCTCCCTGCATCCTGGGCCCCCTGCCCTCCCTCTTTGTCCTGCCTGGAGAGGTGAGAACTCTGCACTACACAGCCCTTTCCAGGGTTTGCTCTCCTGTGGCCTTAACCCTGTGAGGTGGCTGCTGCTGTCCACATCACATCACACAGTGTTATGCCAAGGTCTCAGGACCCCCACCAAGACCACCGAGAGTCAGACTCTACAGCTGTTTTATTTAAACGGACTGCGGCTCAGGCCTTGTCCTATACTCCGACACAGCAGAGCCCAGGAGGAGAGCCCCAAGCTAAGGATTTGCAGGTTTTATAAGGGCATACAACCAGGTGGTTTAGCACCATGTGTTGCTCTGCTCTGAAACAAGCAACAAACTGCCTCAAATACTCCAACCTTTCAACAGCACAGGTATCCTCTGACACAAAGGGTCCTCTGACTCGCCCCCTCCCTCCCAGCTTTCCTTTAATACCCACTCTTCCTAAGTCCTTTTCAGGAATTCATAGCTCTATTTCTTACTCTTGGAGGTCATGGAGCTTTTGCTGTGACAGAAATGGTTGAGGCTGCAGGAATTGTGGCCTCTCCGTCATTGTTTTCTTGTTTTTATTATTGTTATTGTAGGAAAAAGGAAATGACATTCGCTGAATGCCAGATGCTTTATATAGTTTGGCCCACTCTGTTCTCATAGTTACCTATAATAGATGGGGCACCAGTGTATCCATTTTTTTCAGTGGGGAAACTGAGGCTCATAGAGGCAGCCCATAAATGACAGTGGGTTTGAGCTTGGTACTCCCTGACCTAGGAGCCCAGGTTCTCAGCCATATCACAAGCTGCCCTGTCCACCACTGAGTGTCCCAAACAGTCATCAGTGCCCACCTGTGGTGGGGATGCAGCAGAGGGCGTGGCCTCCAGAAGCGTTAGACAAGAGCTAGGCTGGACACAGGCAGAACTGGTGTACCTGTGGTCAGGTGTATGAGGTGGCTAATTGGGGGTTATAACTGCCTATGTGAGGCTTGATGTCTTAAAGATCAGAGTTGGCCAAGCAATCCTGTTCCAGTCCCAAGTAGTCCCCTGAGTTTCCTCTCTCTTGGCCCTTAGCTTTGTAAATGAAGAGGTAGGCCCAGAGAGAGGCAAGGACCTCTAGCTCAGGAGTCTGTGGCCTCAGCCTCTGCTCTTAGGAAACTATCTGGAGTCCAAGGGTTCCCTGAAGAGCTATAGAGGCTGATGGAGGAGGAAAAGATGGGCAAGACCATCACTGTCTACACAATGGCAGCTCTGCCCTGAGATTTCTTTTAAAGGAGGATTGAGCCTACAGCATTGGCACACAGAGCCTTACTTCTCACAGCTCCAGAGGCAAGAAGTTCAAGATCCAAATTCTGTCAAGGTTGTCTCCTTCCAGGGTCTCTGTCTGTCCTGGGCCTTCATTGGACACTGTCTAGAAGTCCTCACATGTCTGCCTGTGCATGCCCTACCCTATTTAGTACTATACTGAGTAAAATAGGACAACAGCCAGACTTATTAGGGCTCACCCTCACTTTCATTTAATCACCCTGCTAAGGACATTGTGAGGTCCTGAGTGTCAAGACTTCAGTATGTGACTTTGGCATAGTTCAGCCCAGTACACCTCTCATCCTAAGACTCTTTTGTTGTGGAATGGAGACCACACAGCAGCTGCACAAACAGCCTGGACTTGGGTCTGATGCTGAGGGCTGACTAATGGTGAGACAGAGCAGAGGCCGTGCCGCTCTGCCCAAGAACTCCTCGCACTCAGCCCCTCAGGAGCTCCCTGGGGAGGTCTGGGCATCTTGATTTGCCAAAGTTGTAAATCTCTTAAGCTATAAGCCGCCCCTTGGCGTCTCCCAATTGCCTTGATGTGAAATACAGATGTTCCTTCTTTTTAAGATCCAAGCACACTTTAGAATTTCCCATCGTGTTTGCACCTAAGTATGCAATTACCATTTCCCCCCATTGTCCTTTCTGCCTGTCCCTCTGCTCCTAGCTGACGCAGGCTCCCGGGCCCACTGGGCGAACACGAGGCTGTGAACTCGTGAAGATCGGATGGCTTCTGAAAGCTTCGGGTGGCTCTTGGCCAGCGATGCTTATCGGTCCCCCTAGGGCTCCTTTGAGGTTATTTTCTTCTCATCAGAAGATGCTTGTATATGCCCCGGAGAACGTTTCCATCAATTCTTCTGCCTCAGCTAGCGCCAGCCGAGCACTGTGCTCAGCCATGAGTCACCTCCGCTGGCTCCTTCCCAGATCCACTGGCTGTCTCTGGTAGCCCAGCCCTGCAGCACTTGCCAGAGGACCCGAACCTCTGTGGTTCTCGGCAGGCCAGGATGGTACTGCAGCCCATCTCATGAGCACCAAACATTCCCCATTTGGCCCTGCCTATCAAAACCACAAGAAAGCATTTTCCCTCCAAGCATTACAGAGCTCGAGTTTCTAAAGTTGTCTGGGAAAAACACAGGTCAGGATATGTGTTTTAGGTCTGTGAGCACACAGTTAGATTTAAAGCCTGAATCGGGATCAGCTTCATTTATAATCCACCAAAAGGACCATAAACAATTGCTGAGCCCTTGTGACCTCTGGCCTGGTTATTGTCCTCTAGGGTATGGATATAGGAGGTGAACCTTGCCCCTGTATCCAGGCAGTGTGCGGCCCTGCTCCAGCCAGGCCTGGAAACTAGGCTCCCTATCCTCACCCATCCCAGTGCAAAATCTTCTCTTGCATCTGTAAAGTCAAGGTCATACTTCCTAGCAGACTGGAAACCTGGAGGTTGGTACTCATCGGCTGTAGCCCATGGCTCTTCACTGTTTGCTGGCTAGCCAGCTCTGGTGCTCAGTGTAGCTGAGGGAAGCTGCATCCCAGTGGTGGAATTTGGAGCATGGGGAGAGCCAGCACAAGGTTTTGAGACTCAGATAGGGCTACTTGCCTCCTCATGCCTAGCCCTCCTAGGTGACATTGGTCCTACCAATTTGTCCCCAGTGCTACTCAGTCTTAAAACTCTTTGCCTTGGGCTGGGAATTTCCAGGAAAAGGGCTTTTCACCTTGTTCCACTTGAGGACTCATTCCAAGGATGGAGCCACTGTGCTAACATTGGGGCAGACATGGAACTAGTGTCAGTCACCTGGGAGCTGAGGCCCCTTGGCAGGTGAGCCCCTTTGTGGAGCCTGGCTTTCTGCCAGGGCCTGAAGGAATGCCCACTTGGTGTCAGGCAAAAGCTATGCCCTGGAGGAGTCAGTGGCTATTGCTCTAGACCTCAGGGAAGGTATATGAGTTTTTGCTATTGCCAGTAATACCACCCCACGGAGAAGGTAAGCTTTAATGAAAAGAGGTTTATTTTGGCTCACAGTTCTGAAGGTCCAAGGTGAAGGGCCAAACCTGGTGAGGGCCTTCTTCTGGCAAGGACCTGAGAGGGCATAGGGCATTGTACAGGAGTGTGCCTCCTTCCTTCTTTCTCTACCCCTGCCTTCCTTCCCTCCCTCCTTTCCTCCTTCCCTCCTCTCCTTCTTTCATTATGCCACCAGGATTTAATGGTGGGACTCACCCTGCCAGCCTTACCTAATCTTGGTCATTTCTCCAGTGTTCCTCCTCTAAACATTGTCTGATTACTCCTTCACCACCGGGATTAAATTTTAACACATGAACCCCTGGGAAACCACTTAGGTCATGTGTAAACTATAGTAGCAGCATTACTGTCTATTTCTCCCATGTCAGTGGTGTCCATTCCTCCCCTGTCAGTGGTATCCATTCCTCCCATGTCACTGTCCATTTCTCTCATGTCAGTGGTATCCATTCCTCCCATGTCACTGTGTCCATTTCTCCCATGTCAGTGGTATCCATTCCTCCCATGTCACTGTCCATTTCTCTCATGTCAGTGGTATCCATTCCTCCCATGTCACTGTCCATTTCTCTCATGTCAGTGGTATCCATTCCTCCCATGTCACTGTGTCCATTTCTCCCATGTCAGTGGTATCCATTTCTATGTCACGGTGTCTATTCCTCCCATTTCATTGACTGGCAGACTGAGTCCAGAAAAGGAAGGAGGGAGTAGCGGTAGTTAGGATGTGAATTCAGAATATAGGAGTCCTCTCCTGAGGTCCTCCGCTATGTCTTGCTTGGCTCCTCATCTTCTGGTGATCCAGAGGCCTGGGGTGGCCAGAAGGAAGGCTTTTGCCCAGGGAAGACTGATTTTGGTAGAGCAGGCCTGCGTCTGGCGCCTAGAACACAGATGGCTCATGTTCCCACCAAATATGGAATCCCCATCCTGGGGCCGGAGAGGAGTGCCTGATCACCCAGAGAAACTGTATTGGTTAGCTTTGGTCTGTAAGGTTGCTGAAGCCATTCTTTTTTGTGTTTTCTAGTGTCCGTCAGGACTTTGATGTCCCCACCAGCCACTTGATTGGAGCACATGGCTACTGCACACAGGTCAGGGGGCCTGAGTATGGAACCTGCGAAGGGAAGGTGGATGTTTCGCCCCCTTTCTCTGCCCCTTCCTTCTTCCCATCTCTGCCAGCTCCCTCCTGACAGCCTGCATATGCCCACCTCTGCTGGGCTTCACTGCTCCAGAGACTAAAAAAGAGAGCTCTGTTCACCATTTCCTTCTCTGGAGTACTTGAAGTGTACAAACCAGTGTGCTTTAGAGCACAGGGGATGCAGAAGCAGCAGAATGCAGGCCCGATGCTGCACCATATGGGCCCCAGCTGCAGGGAGTGGGGTCCTAGATCCTTATATTCACCCAGGACACTGTCTTCACCACCACCCTCTAAGTCTTTACAAATGGCATCCCATGAGGCTTTGCTGGAGGCAGGAGTGATGCCAGGAAAGGAACCTGTTTAAAATTCTCGTGAGCATCAAGCCCGAAACAAAATCCCACCTGGGCTTCCATTCACCCCCTTTTCTGCACAGCAAGGCCTCTAGAGTGCAATGTGGGCCACAGGAGCAGCTGGTGCTGGATGCACAAGGAGCTCCAAAGTCATTCTTCTGCCCTGTTGAGTACTCAGTTGTCCTGCAGGCCCCACTCACCTGTGTCCACCTCTGGAAATCCACCTGGGTCCCCTGCAGAGGTGAACGGGACACCATAGCAGGGCAAGGCTGGCCATTGCCCATCTGCCTAGGTGGAGGCCCTCAGAATGGCTGCCCTTCTGACTTCCCAGGACATCTGGCTCACATTCTGGGTGCCAGTCTGCGCCACAGACCCCCCTTTGTGGGGTGGAAAGCAGGGGTGCCTGGAGCCTTTTTTGTGGAATGGAGAGCTCTGCTGCCCTGGGCTCCCATAGGGCTCTCTTTGTGGGGGGTGGAAAGTGGGGCTGCCTGTAGCCTTCCTTTATGGGGCAGAGAGCGAGGCTGCTCTGACACTCCCTTTGTAGCGTGGAGAATGGGGGGCTGCTCAGGTTGGGGGTGACATCCAGTGTGGGGCTGGGGTTAGCCTTGTTCTTGCTGCACTTGCAGAATGAGCTCTGGGGTACCTTTCCTCCCTGGACTTCGAGTTCCTCTTTTGTAGATGGGCACATTTGAACTAGACCAGGGATGCACATAGATTCTCGATGGATGTGTTGAAGAGCAGGCTCAAATCCAGACATATAACAGACTTTCCCAAGGAGACCACTGCCATTGGCCCAGGGACACACATCAAGTAGCAGAGCGCCAAATATTGGCTAAGTTTTGCCATGTGTGGTTTTTGCACCTATGGGCAGCAGGAGGTGCATAGTGCCCCTTCTTGTGTGAACTACAGTCACAGCATTACTGTCCCTTCCTCCCATGTCACCTTCCTCCAGAAGGCTTGCTACTAGGAGGTGGGTTCTGAGCACATCCCCATGGAGGAGCAGGGTCTTTTTCCTGTTGCAGACCAGATGGAGACTTCCCACTGAGAACACTGTCCCCAAGGTGCAGAATCTTAGAGCAGATATTTCCTCTAACTTTATCTCTGGTTTCCTTTAGGAGGATACAAAGGGGCCACTCACTTCTCCCTCCAATGGGGCCCCCTCTGCAGCCATCAGTGGAGGCTTTTACTGTCTCTGGGGCAGGGGTGCTGGTGTTAACAGGGATTTATTAACCCCGGATGTTGTTTTCACAATTTCAAGGAAAACATTCCACAAACTTTGCCCTGTAGGGCGTGGGCTATGTAAGGGCAGCTGTGGCTGTTCCTGAGGGCCAAGAAAGCTTCTGCCTGCACCTCACCAGGTGGTGCCAGTTCTGGTAGGCAGGTGGCATAGACAGACTTACCAGCCTGAGTCCTTCCAGAGGCCAGGGTGCAGTGGTCCTGGCTAGAGGAGAGGGGTGGAGGTTCAACTGTGGCTCTTGCTCATAAAAAGGTCAGGGTCAGTTCCTCCCAGTCCAGATAGGAGCAGCAGAGCCCTCAGTGGTCCTCCTGGTGGGGGTGATACAGACTCTGCATGGTGCCAGCTCCCAGTGCAGAGTTCATGGTTGTTGCCTTGTCTGCGTGCGGCATGGGCCATAGGGCCATGGAATGCCTTAATACCCTGTCCTCCCTCTGAGCTTCTATCTTCTTGGCCCTTTACTGTCTTCCTCTGCTCTGCCTTTCCCATGATGCCCATGGTGTTGAGGTGAGGCCCCAGTATGGCCTAGCCCCAGAGTGCAGCCCTTGGTGCTGGGGACAGATTGGGGTATTAGGGGGTTCTGGCTGTTAGGTATTACTGTGCTGGGGTAGGTGAAGGGTACTTAGGCAGTCTGGACTATTTTTATAATTTTGAGGCTAAAGTCATTACAAAATCTAAAAGTGGATTTTAAGAACTCTTAAACGATACACATAAACGTCACTCCTCCACCAAGTAACTCTCACCCAGACACATGGCCTTGCTGTCTGGGTCCTGGAGCCCTGTCATGCCCTGCATTGGGCTTGGACCACATAGCACAAACCTGACCCCTAGCCTGGATCCTGGCTTGAAGCTATGTAAGTTCCCCCCCCTCCCCAAAATAGATACAGCACAATCTGGGATCTAGAATAGTTCCTGTGCAGTTGGTGCTCAGCAAATGCATGGAATAACAACTGAGTACTTAGAGTTGCTTTGATGAGAAGCTGGCAGCTTTCCCCTCAGGGCCTGTGGAAAGTTTAGTCCCCACTGCCTCTGATTTCTGTCTCTTTTCCTTCTCCACCCTCTTTCCCTGTTGCCAATGTCCCCCCTCCCCAGCTGTTCCAGGGACTTGACTCGGCTTCCCTTTCCCGTATCAACAGGAACTCGTCAATCTGCTCCTGACTGGGAGGGCCGTGTCCAATGTTTTCAACGATGTGGTGGAGCTGGACTCCGGGGATGGGCGCATCACACTGCTCCGTGGCATTGCTGCGCGGAGTGACGTTGGCTTCTTATCTCTCTTTGAGCACTACAACGTGTGCCAGGTACCTACCTGCTCACCCTCTTCCAAACCCCAGAAGCCCAGCTCCCAGAGCCCATAAGATGGGGAGACATAGAGCTAGACTCCAGATTTCGAGCCAGCCAGACTACAGGTCCAGCCTGAATACAGGGGGGCTAGGGGAAGTGCGATGGTGGACATGGACATGGACACCTAATCAGGCTCAAAGCCAACTGATACTGCGTCCTGTGAAGGCTGATCAGAAAGGTTTTGGTGTGACCATTGTCAGAGAGGACTTTCGCAGAGTGGGGTGGTGATGATGGTGGTGGTGGTGAGGGCAGCGGGGGTGTCGAGTACCAGGATCTTGCCCAAGCAGAGGAACTCGACATCTTATGCCTTTGATTAGTTTCTTAGGGTAGCTGGAACAGAACTACAGAATGAAAATTTACACAGAAGCATACTGTGTCATAATTCTGAGTGCTGGAAGTCTGAGTTCGAGGTGCCAATAATGCCCTGCATCTTTAGAAGCCAACAAGGAGAACCCATTTGTGCTATTTCCCAGCATTCTTGATGTTTCTTTACTTACAGAGGTGCCCCAGCACACATCTCCCTTGTCACATGGTTGAGCTCTCACTGTGTGCCTCTTTTTCTTGTAAAAGCCTCATTTGGATGAAGGATACAGCTCCTCCAGGATGACTTCATATTAACACACATAAAGACACTTTCCATTTTGAGGCACTGGGTACTTACATAACTTTGGGGTAACAGTTAAGTCCATAGACCCTCATCTGGTCCATTGTCTGGGATGTGGTGTCTTGCCTCTTATGTCACCGCAATCAGGGTCTCAAGAAAGGCTGGCCAAGCATAGGTGATCACGTTTCTAGAGAGTGTAGCAGGACTGAGTTGGGCTGGCTGGCATGCACGGATCCTACATGCTGGCCCAGCTGCCATGGGTCTTCATGGAGCCTTGTTCTGTAGAGGCTTATATAGGAAGCATTATTCTGGGGGTGCCTGTCCCTGCTGGGTCTCATGGAGGCCTGGAAGAGGCCATCTTTCTGTTTTTCATTATGTCTCCACAGTCAGGGCACAGACTCCCCCGCTCCCATCTCCCATTAGGAACCTTGGAGAGTGCTTAGTGAATGGTTCTGCAGGGCTGGAGGGACCTTCCTGTGTGATGACATGGCTGGGTGTGCTGTCCCTTGTGAACAGACCACCTGGGATCCAGTCTGAGTGTCCTCCCTCGTAGTGCAGACTTATGGGCTCCAAAGATTGGGGAATCAAGGAGACGGGTGTCTTTGGGTTGTGATGCTGTCAGAGGGAACCTAGGAGTGTAGCCACGTGGCTGAGGAGAGCCAGGCCTTGAGAGTGTAAGATTCTGGGTGGCTCCAAAATCTTCAACACAAAATTCCAAGGGTGGGGCATGTGGATTCCCCAGGCTCATCATTCCTATGTCCAGGGCGTTGGTCAAAAAATGAACTCCTTTCCTTTGGTCAGTAGAGGGCAACTGGTATGAAATCAGTTGAGGTCATCCTTGGAATAAAAGGACTTGATATTCAGGCTTGTGTGTTCTCCTCACAGGCACCCAGAGGATTAGCTCCCTGCCATGTGAGAATGCTGTCCCTGGCTTTGCAGGCCAGTCCCCCAGGAGGAGGGAGGGCGGGAACCTGCTACTTCCCTTCTTTGGAGAGCTCCCCAGAGGCCTGGCTGTAGCCTCATCTTGCCATGGAGCATCAATCTGCCTCCTGCCACTGCCTATCAGCTTCTTACCACAGCCTCTTGCTAGGAGATGGCTGGGCCCTCCTGAGGATATGGGCTAGAGGGGTAGTGGGACTGCCAGCAGATGAACATCTCAGATGACCCATACTGTGTGTGCTCAAGGGGAAGCACGGGAAGCTTTGGACCAGAGATATGTCACTTCATACCTCAGCCTGGCTGTGTATATGACCCCACTGAGCTATTCTGGCCCACCTGCCTTCCACTTTGCTCCCTGCATCCTAGAACTTGCCCAGATCTGAGCCACTTTGTAGGACAGACCTACCCAGAATAGGGGGCCATCTTTGTTATTTGTATATGGGAGCTGCTGTGTATGTCTCCATGGGAACTTAGGCTGCCAGGCACAGGTGTGGGTATCTTGGGCTGGTTGTGAGAGTGGCTCCTCCCACATGCTCCCTGTGGCACAGGAACCAGGCTGGCATGGACACCTTGGGCTGGTTGTGAGTGGCTTTTCCTGCAAGCTTGTGTGGCAGGTAGCTCCTCTGCAGAAAAGCCCCTTTGTGCATCGATGGGAAGCCACATTGGCATTGGGGCTTTGGCACATAGAACTATGTCCCTCCAGTCAGATAAAGCCCCATAGAAGCCAGCCCTGTAGTCACACCTGTGTGTCACACAGGACTGGGCTGAGGACATAAGCACAGTAGGACAGCAGAGTGCACATGGTCAAGACTGTTTTCCCACCCTCAGGGAGACCCCTGCCACAGGCAAGTCTGAGCATAGCCCCTCTGACCACCTTAGCCCGCAGTCACCCCTGTCACTCCTGTGAGTGGCCTGGAGGAGTATGCCTTTTTCCCCACTGGAAAAATAATTCCCATTCTTTCCTTAATCCACAGGTGGTAGCTGTAAATACCTGAGCATACAAACATCTCCCTGAGGCTGGTGGGGATTAGGCCAGCCCCAGCCTGGCCTAATGCACGTAGGCCGAATAACCAGGCCCCCAGCCAGGAGAGGCACTGCCCCAGGGACTTGTGGGGAGCAGAGAAAGAGCCTACTGGTGGCTAGAACATTCAAAGGTCCTGGGCCAGACCTTTCCCTTTGCAGGCAGATAATGGCTGTGTATTGAGTACTCTGCTGACATACATCTGAGAATCCATGCATCCGCCCTCCCCTAACCTCCTTCCTGAGCCCATGGACATCTATCCTATCCTATCCTCCTCCTGCCTGAGCCTCCCTGGTTACAGACTCCTCATCAGGAGGAAGTCCTGCTGCTTCTTCTGGCATTGCATGACCTCTCCTGTGTTCTCTTAACCGAGAAGGGTCTGTTTGCTCTGAATTTCTCAGCCAGTTCTTCTTGTATCACCCTGGACTTTCCTGCCAGCTCCATGAACCCCACTCCTCCTATCCCAACTAGGACGGTGGTTCTAGTTCATGCCCCACTTAATTCCCTACATCCTTACTTTGCCAACTACCTAGTAGGAGCTTTAGTGTGGGATTGAAGAGCAGTTGTTGAGTGATAAGCTCTTGGGAAAGAGGAAGTGATCCCATCCCAATTGGGGATTGGGAGAAGTACCTCCCAAGGAGAAGAGAGTTTAAGAGCTGGACAGACCAGGGCCTGATGAGCTGGGTAAGAGCAGGTTATGAGATAGTGGCCAGATGAGGGCCATCAGTGGGGCTGAAATGAGTGATGGTTCAGGAACTGGGCTGGGGAAGGAATAGGTGATGCTTGGGTTAAGGTATGTGTAAGGAAGGCTCTGAGCCACCATGAGAGGGCAGGCCAGCTCTGGAAAGTGAGTCTATGGACTGGCAGCACCACATGGCCTTGGAGGTCAGCTCTGGCTCTAAGACAGCAGATACCTCCGCCCCTGTCCCTGGGCAGTTTGTGTTATTGGACCTCTCCTTTCTCCAGGTCGGCTGCTTCCTGAAAACCCCAAGGTTCCCCATCTGGGTGGTGTGCAGCGAAAGCCACTTCAGTGTCCTTTTCAGCCTGCAGCTAGATCTCCTGTCCGACTGGAGAGCTGAACGGCTTTTTGATCTGTACTACTATGATGGCCTTGCCAATCAGCAGGAGCAGATCCGACTAACTGTAGGTAAGATACCCTTAGCCTGTCCCTTCACAGAAGGCCTCAGCACTCCAGGTGTCAGTGAGCAGTGTGGTTCACAGAATAGATGTCTGTGGGGCCTTGAGCACCTGATGGTGTTAAGGATGGACGATGAAGTCGGAACCACCTGTGAAGTACCCTGATTTACTTAGCTGAGAAGGTTGGATTTATTCTTTGGGCAGTCAGGAGCCATGGAAGATTTTAAGACAGAAAAGATGTGTTTCAGGAAGAGTATGGATATGATTTGGATGTGTTTGGAAAGAACATTGTTGTGACTGAGGTAGGGCACAGGGTGGTGGAAGATGGTGAGTCATCTATGGCCAGGAATGAGGCTGGATCTGGTTGAGATAGAAGTGAGCACACAGGTATTAGAAAGACCTCCGGTGGCTGTGTGATGACATGGCTGAGCGTACTGTCCCTTGTGAACAGACCACCTGGGATCCAGTCTGAGTGTCTTCCCTCATAGTGAAGACTTACGGGCTCCAAAGATTGGGGAATCAAGGAGATGGGTGTCTTCGGGTTGTGATGGTGTCAGAGGGAACCTAGGAGTGTAGCCACGTGGCTGAGGAGAGCCAGGCCTTGAGAGTGTAAGATTCTGGGTGGCTCCAAAATCTTCAACACAAAATTCCAAGGGTGGGGCATGTGGATTCCCCAGGCTCATCATTCCTGGGTCCAGGGCATGGGATGTGTTCTGTGTCCTGGGATGATGCATGTGCCTCTCTCCCCCTCCCCAGATACCACTCGGGCCACCCCTGAGGATAACCACAACGACCTTGTCCCTCCGCTGGAGCTCTGCATAAGAACCAAGTGAGTCAAGCCTGTCCCCATCTCAGGTTCTACTCTGCTCTGAATGGGAGGGAGGGTGTGCTTAGGGGATCTGACCTAGTGGTGTGCCAGGTAAGAGCCCTGTGGTTGGAGCCTATGCATAGCAGATTTCTCACTACTGTAGCCCTGCTGATTCTAAACATGACTGCATAGCCGGATGAATGCTGGGCCTCCCTGGGGGAATGCCCCAATTGTGCTAAGCTCTGTTAGACCCCATGGGTCAGCTGGGACTTGCTGGGACTTGGTGAGGGAGGCTGTAAACTAGAACAGGACTGGAAGGTGGGGTGGACTGGCCAACCAGGCCCTGGTGGGATGTGACTGCCTGCAATAGAAGCTTCCTGACCCTGCCGCCCTGGACCTGGAGAAGAGGAGGCTCAGCGGCTGGGAGTTAGGGGATGCCAGGCTGGGAAGGAGTACCCCACACCTGGGGGAGTGGGCTCATTTCCCTATTGAGTTCTGGGTGGGTTCCAGGGCTAGAGCTATGCTCTGGAGGGCTGGGTTGTCACTGGCATGATGGGGAGGCCTCATTGTGTGTTGAAGGAGCACATGAGGAAGGAGTCCTCCAGAGAGTAGTAGAAGGGGAAGTTAGAAATCTGAAGCCAGGGTGCCTGGGTCCAAGCCCTTGTTCTGCCGCCTACTATGAGCTATTGGCTGTCACTCTGCCACTCTGTCATCTGCGAAGTGGAGTAATGGCAGCACCAGGCCTGCATGGTTCTTAGGAAGATGCAGAACCTTAGCTCCTTAACACTGCTCTTGTCGTTATTGTCTTAGCCATGCATGTGCCTTGTGGCCTCGGGCAGAGTCTGTTTCCTGTGGGGTCATCCCAGACTCTGACTTACGGTTGACTGAGATCCAGGTAGCACATCTGGCATCCAGGGTCACTGCCTACCCGAAGGCCTTGGGTAGGGCCAAGGAAGAGTGAGGACACCATGTGCCGTAGAAACAGCAGGAAAGGGAAAAGGAGAGGGGATGTAGTATTCCCATCAGTGTTGTGCTAGGACTGGGCAGATGCAGCATTCCTAATGGCTGTGTGCTGGGACCGGTTGGATGCAGCATTCCTGCTTGGCAGTGTGCCAAGGGCTGAGGGCACAGGCAGGTTCCTGTCCTTTCATGTACAATGGCCCACTCATTCCAGGTGATGAATGAAGAGCTGCCACTTTGGGGAAATGAGGTGGTGCCAGCTTTGGCACCTTATATGGGCCAGTACAGGAGACCACAGGGCATCCGTCCTGCCAGGGACGCAGTCTCTGCTACGTCCGGATTCCTAGAGCCTCCATCATACTTTCTGTGCATCCTCCTATGGGGCAGGCGCCCAGGCTCTCCTGCTCTTTCTGGGTGGGGAAAGGACAGAAGTGAGTGGCTCACCTGGGCCTTCCTGGGCTCATCCCTAATTGGCAGTTGTTGGAGAATGACTCAGGGTACTGCTTGTCCCCAAGGAAGCCCCTCAACAGAAGTGGCATGGCACGGAACTCAGGCCCGACTCAGAAGTGGCACCTGGGCCATCTCAGCTGTTTCAAAGGCAGTGAGGGGAACTAAGAGGCTGCTTACATCAGAGAGAAAGCCCAGTGCCTAGGGGCACAGTCTCTTACCTCTGCTTATACCCTGGGCTGAATAAGTCCTTGCCCAGCCTGTTCTCCACAGTGCTTCCCACAGGGAGCGTAACTCTGCTCGTGCAGCCATCGCATCAAGAATGCCAGGCCTGGGGACTTGTCCCTAGGGACCTTGTTTCTAACACGTTTTCTTCTGCCTGTTATATGTCCCTCTCATGCCCCACTGCTCCTAATGCAATGCAGCTTTGCATCACCATTCTCAGAGATGCTGGGCAGCTGAGTGAGGACAGAACCATTGGGTACTGACCCATCAGATAACATACCATCATAATGGGGAACAGCGGGCCAGGCCCCGGAACCCCGTTCCAAGGGTTGGATTACAAAGGCTTTGTGCTTTGCTTTCATCCCAGACTCTAAAACAGCTCAAAAGAGAAACTTGGGAAAGTGGCCTCGAGGTCATGGTGAGGATTCATTGGAACTGGTCTTGTCCCTGCCCATGATGGGGGTGTAGGGAGGGTTCCTGCTGCCTGGAAACAGACTTGTTTTCTGGTGAAATGGGTCAGGGTGAGAGCTGGGTATACGTGCTGTCCTCTCCAGCCTTTTTACAGGATGGATTAGGAGCTGGATAGACTACTGGTAGGCTAAAGGGTTTCTTTTCCATTGCACGCCTGTTATGGAACCCAAGGTAGACTCCATGGAGAAACATCGATTGGACTCCATGGAAGAAACACCTAGAACCGGGGCTAGACTCCATGGGAGAAACATCTGAAACCCAAGAATCAGTTCCTGCTCTCAGAGCTCTCAGCTGAGTGGGAGCCAAGTTCAGAATGAACCCTATGCCACTTCAGAGGAGATACACCTCCCGCCCTCACACTCGGCTCCACACGCTGCAGGAAGCTGGCATTGGACATACCACCCCTGTCATCCTGAAAATTGCGTGGGTCCATACCAGTCTAGCCCTTCCTTTCACAGATGGGGAGACAGGGACTCCAGAAGGGAGGTCCGAATGTGCCCAGCCACACCCCAGTTATGAGCAGCTCAGGCCCTCACAGTCCAGCCTGGTGGAAGGTCACCAAGAGGGCAGTTTGATTTCCTGCCATCTGGCTTTGTTGCCATGGAGACATTGCACAAGCCAACTGTGGGTTTTGCCTCTGTGAAGACAACCCTAATTGGAACCAGTGTCCCCACTGTTGCTGCTCTCCACTATGATGCAGTCCTAGCCCCATCCAGTTGTCTGTTCCTTGTGTTGGTTCAGGAGAGCTGAGTCTGCGCCCCACTCTCCCCTGCCACTCACCTGGGTCAGGAGAGCGGGGTCTGTGCTTCACTCCTCCCCTGCTGCTCTCAACCATATCAGCAAAAACCGTTAGCGCCATTTCCAAACAAGGCTCACATGAGCTCTCCATGCTTCCAGACTCACTGGAGTAAGAGAAAATGAAGCAGTTGTCACCAGACCAGAGAGAAGAGGAAAGAATTCATGACCAGGCCTGAGGCGAGGGCCCAGATGTTGCTGTTCAGACACTCAAGAGAGAGATTGAAAATGTAATTCCAGCTGGATCAGTGCCTTCAAGGGCCTGGGGCAGATCAGTTTCCCCCTTCTTCCTGCAAAAGCCCTTGCCTGTGCTCTGTATTTGTGGTCCCTGCCCAGCCCTACCCTGGGCTCTGTTCTCACAGTGCCCTTGCCCATGGAGAGGGCCTTTCTGGATGTCAGCTGCCTCTCTGGCCACACCATGCATGCTCTTCTGATGTACTTCTCCCACACACCTGCCTGGCCCTTGAGGTCATTCCTGACCTCATGACTCTTCCCCGAGCTATGCGGAATGGAGAGTGACCGGCGGTTAGTTCCTTCCTGTTTGGGAACTGGGAGAATCAGCTGGTAGCACCTAGGCAAGGGTCTGGTTGGAGGCAGAGTTGAGGAGAGGGGTGTGGGCATGGCTTTGTGACCACTGAGGTCAAAGGCAAGGAAAACCAAGTTTCCCTGCTGGGCCAGGGAAGGGCATCCTCCTGCTACGCAGGTCTGGGTGGTGATGGTCCCAGGTATTCTGTCAGCCAGAGGTCACTTCTGTGAGAATGTGAGAGTGGGCAAGGGGAAGAATGGAGAGCTGCCTGGGTTCCAGATGGCAAGAGTGCAGGGACAGCTTGACATATGCCTTTCTGTAGAAATTCAAAGTGAGCAAGAAGAGGCCCTGTGTACCTCTCTACCAGGTCTGCCCTCTTTACTGCTATGGCTGTACCGAGATCTTGCCCCTCCTTGAAATATGCTAGACTCATTGGTGTTCGAATCTGCGGAAGCAGGGAACCACTGTCCATTTTGATGTCCTCCTGGGTGGGAAAGGGCCCCATTTGCAGCCATGGCATGGCCTTTCCACAACGGAGTGCATTTTGAGCTCCAGGAACCACAGCATTTTGCTGAAGTCAGCCTCCATGTTGGTATCTTCAGTGAGGAGGTGTAGCATGGAGTCAACCTGCTGAGTTATTTGGCAGTAGGGGGGTTGTGTACCTGTTAGTTTTTGGCAGTGGAGAAGTCGCATACCTGTTGGGTTATTTGGCAGTGTGTATGGCAGGGGTTGTATACCAGTTTGGTTATTTGGCAGTATGGGGATCACATACCTGCTGGGTTTTTGGCAGTAGGTGGGTCGCATACCTGCTGGGTTATTGGTCATGTACCTGCTGGGTTTTTGGCAGTAGGGAAGGACATGTACCTACTAGGTTATCTGGCAGTAGAGGGTTGTGTACCTGCTGAGTTGTCAGTAGAGGAGGGTCATGTCTCTGCTGTGTTATCCTGCAGTAGAGGGGTCGTCTACCTGCTGGGTTATTTGGCAGTCGTAGGACATCCTTAGTTGTCACAGCAGGGAAAAGGTCCTGAGCATCCTCTAGTGTACTAGACAAGCCCCAGATGCCAAGAGTGCCCCACTGACAGCCTGTGCTTTGAACAGTCACGCTGATGGTCACCTCCTGAGTCAAGTAGGATGATGATGAGCCCAGGTTTTTGACAGGAGTAAGACTGCCTTTCCATCTCATCCCTCCCCTCTCTCTGACATCCCTAATTTTTGTTGATTGCATATGCAGAACTCTAATTCACCTTGTATTTGGCTCAGACATACAGAGCAGCATCTGTTGTATCTCAGCCCTTTCAATTTGTAACTTGTCTCAGTTGTCCACTGTTGTTACAAACGACTCCCTGATGGCTTCCAAGCTTTGCACTTACTGACGAAGAGTTAGCTCTCTCTGTAAATGCATAAAGGGCTGGAGGTGTGACTCAAGTGGTTGAGCATCTGTATAGCAAGCATGGGGCCCTAAGTGTATACCTCAGTACTGCCAAAAATAAATAGAAAATAAAGTCAAATGTTAGGAAATGTCATGGTCTTAGCTACAATAACTTTTACATTAGAACTGAATTGCTATTATATATCATCTTGAACTGCCTCCTAAGGCTTCAGAAAGCAAACTCTCAAAAGTCTGTCATCTCCTGTGATACACATAGCCCTTCACTGGCTGCTTGTGGCCTGAGAGGAAAGCCCAGAATCTTTACAGGCTCTGCAGGCTCTCAGCCCCTCCTGCCTCTCTTCCCATCGTTCTGGGCTTCTCCTGCACTGTGAAGACCTCATCCTGCACAGATGCCTCACAAGGACCCACATGAGGTGCCTCTAGGAAGCAGCTGGGTCCAGAGGCCTGAGGGATACTCTGTCAGCAGAGCCCAGAGTACAGTACAAAGTTGGCTGGGGTGCAGATGAGTAAACCACCATCTACTGTCTTTTCCACTGCTTCTCGGGGTCCTGATGTGTTTGTAAGGTGTTTGGGGGGCTGTGAGTGCAGAGGAGCAAGGCAGGCCTTGGTGCAGAAACTTTTGGTAAGTGAGGGTCCCACCAGGCCTCTGTAGCTCTAACTCTTCCTCCCTTCCCCCTTAGGTGGAAGGGGGCTTCTGTGAACTGGAATGGCTCAGACCCCATCCTGTGACCCTTGGATGCACCTAAGTTCTACAGCTCCATTGCTCATCACCAGCAGCCCTTGCACCTCAAGCCTTGTACAAGTCTCTGAAAGTCATCTCCACTGAGGCCAGCATGACCACAGACGTGTAAAGAGGCTCCATTACCCCCTCTCTGAAGGGCCTGCCCAGGCCCCGGGGGGCCCCAGCGCACTGTGGAGATTTTCTTCTGCCAAGCAGCAACTGCCAAAGACAGGATTGTTCCTTGAAGGCCTTAGATATGGGTGGCCATGCATTCTATAAAGCAAGAGTCAAATCTGTGCTGAGGACTTCTTTTTTTCACCATTGGCAAGGTCTGAGGCAGGAAGGAGATGTTGGAAGCCCCAGAGACAGGACTATAGTGGCTGCCCCTGGCAGGTGGGTTCCTGTCTCTTGCATGGCCAGCACTGGTCCCAGGTGCCACGCTACAGAGGCTGAGCTGACTGAAAACAGAGCAGCTCAGAGGGAGAGCTGGACCCCCAGAGGCCTGGGGAGGCTGAGGGATCCAGCCAAGCGGGTGTGAAGAAGAGCCAGCAGGGAAGGGTCCTCTTGGGCAGGAAGGGGGATGGGAACAAGCCAAGGGACAGGGAAGTGAACTGTTGAAGTGTGAATGGGCAAAGGCTCTGAGCCTGCAAATGACAGTGAGGGAAAGCAGCCCACCCAAGTCATGCCTCAGCATTCGTCTGTGTGCTGTGGGTTTCATGAAGGAATACTAGTAGAAACTCTGGTAAAGAGGAAGGGGTAGGGAATGAATTGTGCCAAAACCAGAAGCCATGACAGGCTAAAGAGGAGGAGGATGCACCTGCCCTGGTGAGGAGATATAGGAGCAGGTAATGGCAAAGCCCAGAATGAGTAACTCCAGTGCAAGAACAGGTAATGGCAAAGCCCAGAACAGGCAACAGCTATGCCCAGAACAGGAGCTGCCCCCCTTGCCTGACCCTGTCTGTGCCCAGTGAGTACCTGGGCTATGACCTGGGATTATGCAGAACTAGGCGTTTGTGCTTGTGTTAGAGGCTGACAAAGGACCAGGTAAGGCACAATGCTGGAGGCATCCTGGCCTCAGCCTCTGAGTGCCCTCCTGGGACTTAGGATATAAACCCTGCTAGAGCTAAGTCCCTCTATAGTGTGGTGTGGAGGGGATATAGCTGGCATTTGGGTCCCTCAGCACTGCAGGTGTGAAGGGGATCTAGTTGGCATTTTGAGTCCCTCTGTGATGCAGATGTGGAGGGGATCTAGCTGGCATTCGGTGATGTGACCTACAGAGCTTGCCTTGTATGCCTTGTAGATGGAGCCTGACTCTGGAGAAGTCAGGAGGTGCCAGTGAGGCCCAAGGGAAATGGGGGACAAGGACTGATCTGCACTGTGTCTGAGGCCCCATGGGGTTGACTATGTAAACTGCAGTGGCTGCTCACCGCATGGTTCCTGCAGAACCACTTCCTATATCCCCTGCAATGTTTATGGGTTTGTTTTCCTTGGCCAGGGACAGGCACTGGGGACCCAGCTGGGCAAGGAAGTCAGCTGACCTGTGGAGCCCTTGTTTATCTACCTAAGGAGGAAAAGTGTCTTTCAATGAAAATCACTTAACCTTTCAGCTGAGGGGGGGGACTCTTTGTCAGGGCTGGGAAAAAGCCATGCCTAGCCTTGCTCCAGAAGGCGGCATCTAGCAAGCACAGAGCACTCAATATTCTTCAAGCCCAGAGGCAAGAGTGTGGCATTCCATGCCCTGGATTGGAAGGTGAGCAGAGCCTAGCACCACCTGCTCCCAGGCTGTGGTGGCAGACCGGCCCTCTATGCCTACCAATCGTCAGGAAGGAAACAACAAGGCCTGGTCCAGCCGGGCATTCTGTATCTGAGAGCATTTTCTGGAGCCCATGACAGGCTTTTCCTAAACTATAGTGAAGAGAGCTCTTCCTAAACTATAGTGAAGCCTTTTGTGCTCATGTGCATATGTTAACGCTTTAAAACTGGAGGAACCTCTTCCAGCTTCCCTCCAGAAAGGGTGAGAGGTACAGCCTTATAGTTTATGCCCCACCCCCACCCCCAAAGCCTCACACCCACAGACATCAGGAAGCAGGCCTCGGTGGCATAAGAGCAGAGGACGGCTGTTCACTGCCACACTGCTGCCATTCTTTCCTCCTTCCCTTGGTCTCTGCATGGGCTAGCAGGCCAGGACCCCAGGCTCTCTTGAGAGCAGAGCCCCTTCTCCCACTGTGGTGGCCACTGTGGAAGGGAACTATCACTGACTCCTTCTACCCCAGGATAGGGTAGGACAGAAAGCCCTGGAGGCCAAGTAGACATTCAGGGTTCCTGCCTACGAGGGTGCCGCCTGCTAGGGCTCTCCAGTGGAGATACTCTCCAGCTGCTCTCCTGTTGGGCCAGCCCCTGCACCCCTGCATTCCCTGCAGAGCACCAAAGCAGCTTGCTCCCTGTCCAGCCCTGGCCTCTCTCATCCTTTCCCGGGTAAGCCGGCCACCGTTCCTGTACTCCGGAGGCACACACAGGCCTTCCATCAGTTCTAAGCTCCTCTCCTCTGGCTTTAGCATGTGGAGATAGCTTGAGACACTTGCTAGCAGCAGACCTCATCGACCCCACACTGCCCATACTGTGCTCATGGCCAGGAGGGCAAGACAGAATGGCAGGCCATCTGTGCAGGGCTCCACGACTCTACACAGAGGCAGGTCATGGGAGTCATTTTCAGGATGGTCAGGGTTCTGCAGGGTCAGAGCCCTGCCAGGGACTGCGGGAGGTCCTGAGCCAAGGTGCCCTCAAGAGTCCATGGGACTGCTCCATAGAGTTGCCATGTCTAGGCTCAAATGAGGGCAGGGTCCAGCCCATCCTAGAGCATCAGGGCTGTTGAGGGAAAGAAGTCCCCATGAGGGCCCGCAGTGAAGGGCCTGAGCTGTAATAGCTCCTAGGCACTGACTGCTCTGGACCCTGGCTTCACTACTCAGCACGGCGGGCCTTAGACCTGAACATGAGCTCTACGTGTCAGCCCCACCTGAGGTCTTCAGGAAGCGGAGCCTCAGGTGCTGCCTTAGGCCACTAAACCAGAGTGTGCATTTTCACCAAATCAGAGCTCAAGTTGGAAAAGCTCTGGACACAGGCTTGTGATTTTCACAAATTCTGGAGAGGTGTGGTAGAGGCACTGAGGCACTCAAGTCTGCTGCCTTGGGTCAGATGGTCAGGGTCAGCGTGGTGCCCTGTTGCCTAGTCCAAGTGGCTGTCAGCATTTGACTGGGCCTTAGTGGTTTCTCTGTAAGATTGAAGCCCAGAGGGTGTAATGGGTTGAAATGAGCTAACACATCATGAAGCATGCAAAATGGGGCTCAACCAGTGTTGGCTTTCGGTTCTTGCAATGTGGGTAGAAGCTCCTTGGCTAGCCCATGATAGAAAAGTGCAGAAAGTGGTATCCAGAGCAGACCCAGCAGTCTTCTGTCTGTCTTATCCTGTGTGCCTAGAGAGGAAGGTGGTTCAGAGGACCGGGAGGTAGAGAGTGGGAGTCAGAAGGAGGCTGAGAGCAGAAGGCAGAGGGCAGGTGGAGGCTACAAATGGTGGCCAGGGCAGAAGCTTTCCCAGGAAGCAGAGTGCTGCTCAGACCTCTCCTATGGGGGAGGGCCAGGCTGGGTAGAGGTAGGGAGTGGGTTGAAAGGCTGTGTGTACTCTCAGGACGGCAGTGTAGGCCTGTGTGAGGTCAGGGTACAAGGAAAAGTGGCTGATGGCTTTTTCACATGCCTGTGGATGATCCTTGCATGGCTACCAGCCCTTAGGGGATCCCCAAAGTTGTAGTAGGTGAGCAGGCTGCAACATTTCTGCCAGCATTGCTCTCCACCCTAGTCCTCCCTGCTCCCTAGGCATGCCACATCCCCTTAGGCCTGTGGGAGGTGTAATTTCTGAGCAAAAAATGTCAGGCATTTGTGATAGTGGAGATTGTGTAATGCAAAGGCCAGGATAGGGTGGGCTGGCTGCTTATAGTGGGGCAGAGCCCAGCAGGGGCCTGCGTGCAGGGTGGAGATGTGCACATCAGAGCTCTGAGGGGCACAGGAATTAGGACACCTCCTTCCCCTGAGAGGCAGGAGGGAGTCAGAACAGCTCCCTCTCCTAAAGGGTCGCAGGGGAATTAGGAGACCTCCCTACCCTGAGGGGTTACAGGGAAATGGACAGCTCCCTCCTCAGGTGGTGGGGGTTTGGTGATGTCAGGAGCCTGCAGGTGGCCTTCCCTGAACACTCCTATCCACTTTCCTACAAATACACATCCTATGACTTGCTTGTCCAGCCAAATCGTCCAAGGCCTTTTCTAACTACAGATGGGGAAGCTGAGGCCAAGCAGGAATTCTTATGTTAGAGGCCTCTGGGCACATTTCTGTTTTGTTTTGGTCGTGGGGCTTGAACTCTGGGCCTGGGTGCTGTCCCTGAGTTCTTCAGCTCAAGGCGAGTGCTCTATGCTTGAGCCACAGCACCACTTCCATCTTGGCACATTTCTTTGCTGGGCTGGAGGATCTAAATCTGCTGGGGGTAAACCCAGCCTGCCTCACCCCTGCCTCCATAGCCCACTCTAAATCATGGCAGTGGCTTTGAGGCTTGTGATCCTTGCCTTCTGTGCCTGTCATGTAGCAGGTCCCACCTCTCCCACAGAGCTGACATTCCTTTGGGAAGACTTTGAGAACACTTGGACCACCCATTGGAACTCAGCCACAGGACTCTGGTGTACCTAGCAGGCTAATACACATGTACACGACACACATACACTCACACACTTCTGCACATGGTTTCTTCCCTAAGCCCAAGGCTTATGCCCCTGCCTCCCTCCTCTCCCAATACCTGTCCCAGCCCAGGACTCCCATGGAGTGCAGAAGGAGCCCCACCCTGTGCCCACTGCTGCCCCACCTCCAGCTGACAGCCTGTGTCGTGTAGTGCTAGGCGGGAGAAGTTGTCTGAGGTGTCTAAACCGTTGGTTCTGGGTGTGGTTCTGAGATTAAACCTGGCCCCTTTCCTGTGGCACTTGATAAGGGTGATCCCGGGTGTTTATCTGGCTTTTTCTGTTTTAGGGCCTTTTGACGTCTGTGAGACTTGGCCAAGTCCCTCCTCCGAGAGCCTCAGAGTCCTCAGTGATAAGCATAGCAGCAGCCGCCTCCCAGTGGCTGTGGCTTGCTTGCTCCCCGCCACTTGAGACACCTGCTGCCAGCACTGTCCTGAGCCCTGCCCCTTCCTGGCCTGGCCCTGGACGGAACCTGGGGTGCTATTAATAATTACATCAGGGATGATTGTGTAAACGGCCACCGCG